CCTCTGGGGTCCTTGGGTCCTTCCTGGGTCTGTTGTCGCGCAGGCCGGGAGCTCCTGCGCAGGCCGGGAGCTCGTGCGCACGCCGCCGGGTGATCCCAGAACTTCAGTCTTTAAAGAGTTCACTGCGCGAGCCCGCGAGCCGCGCCGCTGCCTGCGGGAGGAGGCCCCGGCGGGAGTGTCGAATTACAGTTTTTTAAGGTAGAATTGGAGACAAGTCAGCAAGCTTGAGCAATTGATTGGCTTATTTTAAGGAAAAGAGAAATGTGGAGAGCTTATCTTGACTATATTTAAATTTTATTTCACATTTTGCTTGAATCCATGAGATATGCTTCAGGTACTTTGTTGTATATTTTATTGTACAAAAGAGACAAGATTGTGGAAATAGTCTGTTTTGGTTCTCTTCCAGTATTACAGCATATGTGTAATACCAAAAATGTGGTTAGAATGAGTAAAGCCTATGTTTGTATTATGTGTAGTTATTTGGGTGAATTAAGATGAAGAATATACAAATAATTTACAGAGGAACAAATGAAAAAGTTTTCACTAGTGAGCTTTAATGTCTCCCTATTTTTATGCAGTGAAAACTTATAGAGGTATACATATTTGTCAGTAATTCCAAGAATATTTTCCTTACTCTTCCTACTATATAATAAGAAAATTTGTTTTAAGCTCATTTTGGGGAAAGTTAATATTGTGCATAAGTTACTATGTCTTACCAAATTTTATACCATATGGTTTAAGGTAACTATTACAATTTTACAATTATAACTAATAATTTTATGTAATGAGATTATTATGTATAATGTTTTCTTTGTTTGCTTGTCTCATGTCATTTTAGAAGCGATTTGGTTTTAAAGATTCATTGAGTCTTTAAAGTGTTTTATGGGTAAAAAGTTGGTGAATTGAGACAGTTTCTCAGGTTCTCAGGTGCTTCAATTTGCTCCTGTAAAATGGTGGATCCAATTGTTAATATAACTGCCCTTTAGTCCTAATTCAGTGGGGTTTTTCAAATGCATACCTTAACTCACAATCTGCTAACTGGAAACAGTAAAGATAAAACAAGACTAAATACTGTAATAATTCTATTGAGCTCTGATTTAAAGAGAAATTTTGAGTAAAAATGATGACCCGCATTGTTGATCTCACATTTTTAAGTGTAGCAATTATGTCATTGATTGGTAAGCAGTTATTATTGTTTATAGTAACAGAAGCCATCAGAGGTTTAATTGTAGTACATTCTTTTTTATTTTTTATTTTTATTTTTTTTGGTACTGGGGATTGAACTCGGGTCCTTGCGCTTGCAAGGCAGGCCACTGAACCGCTGAGCTAAATCCCCAGCCCTAATTGTAGTACATTCTATATATAAAGAAAATCATTAGCTCATTAATTCTTCTAAGAAAATCAGAGGTTTTGTGGACTATTGAATTTTTGCAACTGTTGGATTTAGATTAATCATGAATTGCTCTTTTTAAACTTTTTTGTCTCTTTGAAAGCTACCATTTTATCTTTATATCAGATTACATTTTTACCTATAACTTCACTAGTACTGTATACTTAATTACGTATAAGTATTAAATTCCAGCATGTGAACATGCATGGAAATAGCTTAAGAATAACACAGGTAAAAGAAATTTGAACTTTTGTTTAAATTTTTTTTGACTGTTTGAGCCCATGCATTTAACTGTACATGTGTTTGCCTTTTAATTCTAGGCTTTCCTGGGTTCTTCTATATGCAAGTTTTATTTTTCTTATGTCTCTTCTTATGGCAGTCATTGCAACAGCTTCTTCATTATTTCCTAAAAGTAGTAGCTTTGTGATATTTCTACTTTTTTTCCTATATGGATTGTCATCTGTAAGTATTTTAACTTGAAAGTGGAATAAAGAACTGTCAAAATATTTGAGAATTTAACAAAATCTTTTTCTTTGGTTTAGATTTACTGTTTCCCCTGAAAGCTATATTGTTACTAAGTTACTGATAAGTTATGTAATAATAAATGATACAGCATCTTTGTATTTCCATACTTTTAAGAAGTTAAAAATATATACAGTTTAAATTTATCTTGTTTTTATATGCTATATAGTATTTCAGGTATAGTTGAGTCTTTTTATTTTTATATAATCATGTTTATAATTAAAATTGTTGAGTACTGGACTTTTTCCCTAGTCTTCATGAAATCCTGTCTGTTCAAAGTTAAGTTAATTTATGCTGCAGGATGATTATTTTTTAAAATGTTTTTTATAAGTATAGCTCTTTAGCAGTCTTGGTACTGGTTTTGCATATTGGCTGAATGCTGGCTGTCTGTAGTGAGCAGCCTTTGTATAAGTGGTTCCAGCTTCCATTTTGATTCGTTTATGTACTCATCTGTACCAGTTATGACTATCACTTTTGCATTTAAAATGATAAATTACAAATACTATGTCATATGTCCACATATAATTGCCTAATATTACGTCATATCAGCAGTTAAATTTAAAAGATGATCCCGTATTTAAAAGCTTGTTGACGTATTGGTTGTTCACGTATTTTACACATCTAAAGCATGCAGAAGCATGAGGCTCTGTGGTTTCTATAGTGTCCGTGTGATCACATTTGCCTATGATATAGATAAAACAAAGTCTTTCATATTTGTCAGTTTAAATTTTTTAAACATGTATCACTATTTGTATGAAAATGTCTTACAATGGCATTTAGAAATTTTAGTTATATTTTTATGTCTTTTCCAATGAAAATAGCTTATTTTTTCATAAATACAATTTGTTTGCATGCCACTGTATATGAACTATGCATTAATCTTAACATTTCTGTGTTATAGGTATTTTTTGCTTTAATGCTGACACCTCTTTTTAAAAAATCAAAACATGTGGGAATAGTTGAATTTTTTGTCACCGTGGCTTTTGGATTTGTTGGCCTTTTGATAGTCCTCATGGAAAGTTTTCCCAGTTCATTAGTGTGGCTTTTCAGTCCTTTTTGTCAGTGTACTTTTTTGATTGGTATTGCACAGGTAGGTTATATGTTAATCTTGAATTCATCAATTTTTTTCCTTTCAAGTTCTATGCAGCATCTTTTACTACATAAATATGACCTGTGATTTGTTAAAAATTTACAACTTCATTATGAAAAAGAGAAGATGTTTCAGTACTAGAGTACATTTAATGTCTACTTTTATTTATATTTCTCTAATTTTAAGTTTTTAGAGACCAGCCTGGGTTACACTGTCAGTTAAATGTTTTAAATTCTTCACTTTTTTGGATGTGTTTTTCAAGAAATCTGTTTTGATATAATAACTCAGTTTGTTAGAAGTAATTAGTTTCAATGGCAAGTAATTAAATTGCTTTATTGCTACCATTTATAAATTCATTTTAGAAGAAATAAAAGCGTGCATAGAGCAGAGCAAATTTGTCATGTGTGCAGTAGCAGTAGTGAAATAGTCCTGGTGGATTTTATTGGTCTAGACTTCATGGAATTATCCTTTACCTGAATAATGTTTAGATTTATAAATTTAATTTTATTTCTCTTACAGGTATAGTCAGGTTTTTTTTTTTTTTTTCTCTTTTGAGGCAGGGTCTCACTATGTAGTTGAGACTGACCTGGAACTCACTATGTAGCCCAAGCTGGTCTCGAACTCACAGTGATCCTTCTGCCTCAGCCTCCCAATTGCTGGCATTACAGGCCTGTGCCACCATGCCTGGCTCTGGTATACTCAGGTTTTAAGTGAAAGAAATGTTATGAAAAACAGCTTTGTATACTAGTACATAAATTTGGTATAAGGTACAAAGAAAAAAACATAATTTTTGAATATAAGAATACTAATACTGGTTTACTAGCATATTCTTTGTGAGACTAAATTAAGATAGAGTGTTTATAAATCTAGGTTAAATTTTAATTACTTGAAGCCAGGTGTAGTGAGTACTTGGGAGACTGAGGCAAGGGGACAGCCTAGCTACATAACAAGTTCAAGACTAGCCTGGACCATATAGTATAGCAAGTCCATATCTCAAAAAAACAAGACAAAATGAGACAAATAACAATAAAAAGTAAAAATTTTAATTGCTTGAAACCTGGGAGCAATTATTACGCATTTTGAGAGTCCATTGAATCGAATCCCTCTTTTCTTAAATAGAATTATAGACTCTTACCTATATTTCTGTTCTGAGTGGCAGGGCCTTTCAGTACCGTTTAATTTTCACAGATAAGAGGACAGATTCCAAGTGGTATAAAGGTTAGTCACATAATGGCAGTGCAGGACCTAAATGAGGCCTCAAGCTCTAGTACTTTTCTCTTTCTGTTTCTCTTTCAATTTTGTCACATGTCTATCAAGAATGCTTTAATAATTGCATTAGTTTACTAAAATTACTTTTTCAGTATGGGGGAGATAATGAGCATTTATCCTATAATGTTTGATTTATTTGCCTTCCGTTTGGACAGTAACCCTTTTGATTGCCTTAGTTAACTTTAACATCACACTGTACTTTTACTTCATATGGTAGTCATTGCATTAGAGCTAAATGCCCTGAGTTGATAGAGCAAAGTTTAAAATTACAGCATTAAAAACATGATTAAAATGAACTTTTGTGATAAACTTCTATTTGGTGATATCTTGTTTTTCTGATAAATTCGTATTACTGATTCATTTAACCTGTTAAAAGGCCCATTTTGGTTACCTAAAATACAATGAATAACACTAGTGTTATCATTATTATATAATAAATTAGGTGTTCGGGGGCCGGGGATTTAGCTCAGTGGTTCGGTGGCCTGCCTTGCAAACACAAGGACCCGAGTTCAATCCCTGGTACCAAGGAAAACTAACTAACTAACTAAATAAATAAATAAATAAATTAGGTGTTCTTATTTTTTTAGGTCATGCATTTAGAAGATTTTGACGAAGGTGCTTTATTTTCTAATTTGACTGACGGCCCGTATCCTCTGATTATCACCATTATCATGCTGGCACTTAATAGCATATTCTATGTCCTCCTGGCTATCTATCTCGATCAGGTCATTCCAGGTATGCTCTTGGTTATTGAATTTACTTTAAGGATTTTTAGTTATTTTTGTCCTATAGGATTATTTTTTTTCTTCTGTAGAGTATCTTAAGTTGTATTGATTGTTAAGACTTTTAATTTGATTTTCAATAAACTTATTTTAAACCTTGGGTTTTGGACTGTAGTGAACCTAAGGAGATTGTGTAGAGAAAATAGTTTATTTTGAACCTCACATCTCTTGCTGAACTTAACTCCGTATTCAAATCTTTTTAATAGTCTATTGTTTTTCCCTCTTGGGTAAAATGAGATTACTGTGAGGTAATCTTGTAACTCCTATCACTCTTCTTTATCTTCTTCCATGAAGGTATAACCACCTCGAAATAGTAATATTAAACATCTTAACACCTCCTTGCTTTTCCTTATAAGTCCTTTATTACTTTTGTTTGCATTCTAGTCATGTCTTTAGCTCCATGTAACTTTTAAAATTAAATAAATTAACAGTTTATTTCCTGTCTTCATGATTAAAAAACTTTTTCAGAAATAATTTGTATAACTAAGTTTTTATTTTTTTATTTTTCAGGGGAATTTGGCTTACGGAGATCATCTTTATATTTTCTAAAACCATCATACTGGTCAAAAAGCAAAAGAAATTATAAGGAGTTATCAGAGGGCAATGTTAATGGGAGTATTAGTGTTAGTGAAATTGTTGAGCCTATTGCTTCAGAATTTATAGGCAAAGAAGCCATAAGGTATGATTTAATCTTTGGCAGTTTACCTATAAAAGCTGTGATATTATACTTACCGTCGATTTTCTTTGACTCATTGTTTTAGTAGGAAGGTACTTTATTATTCCTGTTAAATATGACAGTTTTTTCTTCAGTTTTTTGTTTTTGTTTTTTGATACTGGGGATCAAACTCAGGACCTTGCTCTTGCGAGGCAGGCGGCAGAACCACTGAGCTAAATTCCCGGCCCTTTTCTTCAGTTTTGATACAAGAATGCCAATTTTTTTGAGGGACACATGACCACAGAATCTTTTGTCCAGCCTCTCTCCACCCCCCCAAAAAAAAATCACAAACCAAAATTTAAATAATTTATCTCAATGTAGGGATATTACTCTTCCTTTAATTCTTAGAAAGTACCACGAATGCTAGAGAGACACAGTTCAAATTTTATAACATATATTTTAAGATAAGACAACACTGATAGGAAAATTGTGTAATGAATACGTACTTACACATTTCTTTAAATACTTTTAATAGAAAACTGTGTTTTTCAGAATAAGTGGTATTCAGAAGACATACAAAAAGAAGAATGAAAAAGTGGAGGCTTTAAGAAGTAAGTAGCTTTCCTAGGATTTGGTTCATAGTATTAAAGTACAAGTGGAAAAACAATTTGCATATTTAGTGGAATATTTAAACTCCTCTTTTATAATTATTTGTCTTGCTTTTAGAGAAATTTTATGTATTATAATTAAACTAACAGCATTTTATTGGTCATAAATCCAAGAAGTACTATCTTTTAAGGTAAAAAAGATCTATTTGAGCAAGTTTATATCCTTTTTCATTTTATTATGCATGTGTATCCATACTAGGTCTTTAAAAAAAATTATTTTGACCTAATGTAAAAGTTCTAAACCTCAGCACTCTACTGATACTTTGGGCCTGATAATCCTTTTAGTGGGGAACTGTACTGAAAATTGTAGTACGTTTAGCAGTGTGTTAGTCTGGGTCCTTCAGAACCAGTAGAATACACATACACACTGGTAGGTAATCCTTTTGACTTATTCTGATTGGGGACAGTAATATGTTAATATGGTTCTAATTTGCATTTATCTAGTAAAAATACTATTGATCACCTTTTCATATGGTTTCTGGAATTTATTTTATTTATTTATTTTTTTTACCTGAAGTGCCTTATGAAGCTTTTTCTACATTTTAGTTAAGACCTTTGTTAGATAAAGGTATTTAGCTACTTATCTCATTCTAAAGCTTGCCTTTTCATTCTGGTAATAATATCTACTTTTGTTGAGCACAAGTTCTTAATGTAGATAATGTCTGATTCATGGATCTATTGTTTAATGGTCACAGTGCTTTTTGAATCTTGTTTTAACATTGGAGTTTATATGTAGCCTCTAATGTAGGTTTTTTTTCAACTGGAAATTATTGCTGATGCAGAGATGCAAGGAAAGAAATAACAGACATCCAAGCTGGAAAGGAAGTGTTGAAACTATTTGCAGTTAGTTTGATTTGTCTATTTGGAAACTTCAGTTAGATCCCTGTAATACAGATAGTAAAACTGAAAGGGAGCTTAGTGAGGTTAACAGGAAACAAGATAAATATGGAAAAATCAATTGTATTTACCATCAATAAGTAATTGGAAAATAAATTAAAAATAGTATTGACTAACTTAAAAATATTTACAGATAAATTAGACAAAAGATGTAGGAGACTGGTATATTGAAAATTACAAAACGTTGCTGAGAGAAATTGAGAGTTAAATATGTTGAGAGGGATGCCATATTCATGGATTACAAGACTCAGTGTTTAGGTGTGAGGTCTATCAAAACTTCAACAGTTTTAAACTCCATCAAAATCCTATTAGGCTTTTTTTTGTTGATGTTTGAAATTCAGTAATTCATATGTAAATACAGGTGACCTAAAAATCACCAAAACAACTTGAAAAAGAACAAGGTCCCTAGGAGGACTAGCATTTGTTTTAAGACTTCTTATAAATACTAAAATAATTAGGATAGTGATTTTGGTGTAAAAGCAACATAAAGTAGATAGTAAAATAGAGAGTACAGAAATAGTACCTGTATTTTGTGGTTAATGATTGTCAACAGAGGTGCAATAAATTTAATAAAGAATACACTTATCAAAAAGTACTGTTTCGGGCTGGGGATTAAGCTCAGTGGTTCTGCTGCCTGCCTTGTAAGCGCAAGGACCCAAGTTCGATCCCTGGTACCAAAACAAACAAACAAACAAACAAAAAAAACCCCAAATCAAAAAGTACTGTTTAAACGGTCTTACAAATATTCTGGTATATCTTCAAAATAGAAACTACAGAGAAGTGAACTTTGGTCTATACTTGGCACCATATACAAAAGCTAACAGAAAATAGATTATACACTTAAGTGAAAAATCTGAAACAGTGAAATTTAAAAGAACAAAAATATAGGGCAAATCCTAGAGGTTAGACTTTGTATTGGATGAAAGTTTCTTAACTCTGACACCAAAAGCACAAACTTACAGTGAGTCTTCAACTGACCAGAGTTCCATTCTAGGAGAATTGTTCGTAAGTAGGATTTGTTCAGAAGTTGACAAAGTGACTCTTACAGGTTGTACTTGTGAAAGTTTGTAACTCAGATGTTCATAAGTTGGTGACTTACTGTATAAATTAACCAACTGATAATTGGGAGTATAAAAATTAGCCAACTGTCCTTTGTAAAACACTGGTAAAAAAATGAAAAAGCAAATCACTGATCTGGAGAAAGGATGTGTAAATCATGTACCTTATAAAGGCTTCTATTCAGAATATGCAAAAAAAAAATCCAGTTAATAAATAGCATTTGAACAGACTTGGACAGTGAAGAAAAAGGACAAGGAAGAAGCATATGAAGTGATGTCCAACAGTACTTTGCAGGGTGATGCAAGTTAAAGTGACAGTGAGATAGGGCCAGCGATTTAACTCAGTGGTTCTGCCACCTGCCTCACAAATACAAGGTTCTGAGTTCAATCCCCAGTAGGAAAAAAAAAAATTTACAATGGGGTAACTACTAAAATGATTAAAATTAAAAAGATTTATTATAGCATATGTGTTAGTGAGGATGTAGACTAATGAGAACTCTCAAACATTGGTGAATGGAATATAAAATTGTACAGCTATGTTGGAAAATAGTTGGCAGTGTGTCAGGAAGTTAAATATAAACCTGCTATATGATCCATTCATTCCATTTCTAGGTAAGTAACTAAAAGTAAAAGAATACTCCCATAAAAATAAACATGAATGTTCATTGAAAATTTATTTGTCATAACCCCAAACTAGATACAACCTAATTGTCTATCAGCAGATAAATGAATAAACCAAATGTAGGGTATCCATCCAGTGAAATATATGCTACTCAGCAGAGAAAAGAATGGACTGTTAATACATGCTGCAGCATGAATGAATTGCCAAATTTATGTTAAAAGCAGTCAGATACAAAGTGATATATAATCCTATTTATATAAAGTTATAGAAAAATGATAGTGAAAGAAGGTAGGTCAGTGGGTTGCTAGAGATGAGTGGAAGTGGGTGGGAAGAAGCAGCGGAAATTTTAAAGGGAGCAGCATTAATATTTTGTGGGAGATACAGTTAGGTTCTTGGTGGTGGTAGTTTTACAGCTGTATGTATTTGCCAAAACTTAGCAGATTGTTAATGTGCGTAGTTTATTGTTTATCATCCATACCTCAGTAATGCTGTTTAAAAATTAAATCTAGGTGATTACATATGTGTATTTTAGCTTTTGGACTGTATTCCCTTCTTCTGATCTGTTTATCACTATTTCTGTGCTGTTATAACTAATACTGGTTTATAGTTAGTCTTGAGAATTTCCAGTGTTGTATTTTGGGTTCTTACAATCCCATGTAAATATTATAATTAGCCACTGGATATGGGGGTACATGCAGTAATCCTAGTACTGTGGGATACTGAGAAAGGAAGATCACAAATTTGAGCCTTAGTCTGAGCAACTCAGTGACTTAGTGAGACCCACTTTCAAAAAATAAAAATAAAGGATGAGCTAAGGATGTAATGCAGTGTGACCTCCTGAGTTTAATCCATACCACCCCCTCACCACCAGCAAAACTTTTCTTTTAAATCAGCTTGTCAGTTTCTACCACTGTGCCTGTTATTGTGAGTTGTTTGACTATTTTATTTAAATTTACAAAACTGGTTTGTGTCAGATTTTTTGTTTTGTTTTGTTTTATTTTAGTACTGGGGATTAGGCAGGCATCGGAACTACTGAGCTAAATCCCCAGCCCTGTTTCAAGTAATTTTTAAATTTTTTTTGGTGGTATTGGAATTGAACCCAGAAAGTACTGAGTTACCAACCAGGCCATTTTCATTTTTTATTTTGAAACAAGGTCTCACTATGTTGCCTTTGGTGGCCTTCAACTTGTGATCCTCCTGCTTCAGCTTCCTAAGTTGTTTGGATTATAAGAATGCACCACTAAGCCTGGTTTAAAATCTTTTTAATGTCTGTGTAATCTATGATCATATCTTCCTTTCATTGTGTATATAATCATTTATAATTCCTTTTTTATAAGTATTATATTTGCTTTGCATTTCATTGATTTATATTACTATCTTTGTTATTTCTGTGTTAATATTTTGTTTGGGTTTAATTTATGCTGCTTTTTCAAGATACTCAATCAGTTATCTATTTGTGTATTATAAGCCCCCGAGAAGCATAGGCACTATTAAGGCAGCCATTATTTTGTCTGGTTTGGCTGTGAAGACCTTCAGGCACTTTGTGGGTTACTTGGAAACATAATGGTTTGGATAGACTTGCTGGCTTTAATAGGCTGCTCTCTCAATGGTTTTTAGAATTATTTACTTCTGTCCCAAGTGACCTCTCATCCTCCAACCAGTTAGCTGTACCAGAGCACTACAGTATTTTATATTGTGTTGTTTCTTGCCCTTCCTCTGTTAGCTTCACTTACACATACCTGTTTTTAGTCATTATCTGAGATGTTACACGTATGGATTACTGCTTTACTCTTCTCCAGATAAAGAAGGCAAGGACCTCTCTTTTATTTTTGTTCTAACTTAACTTAGTATTGTTTGCATGTATCTTAATCTTACATGTATTTTAACCCAAAGATAATGTTTTTAAAGGACAGTTCATTTAGATTTACCTATATATTTACCACATCATTAATTATTATGTTTTGCATCAGATCTCCCATCTAGGGTAATTTTCCTTCTGCATGAAGATTTTTGAGTATTTCCCGCCAGTGATATATTCAGTTTTTGTTTGAAAATATCTTTTATTCACTTTCAATTTTTAAAGATATTTCTCCAAATATCTTTAATGTTAGGCAGTTGCGTTGTTTCAGCATTTTAAAATCTAATTTGATTTCTCTTATTTGCATCGTTTTGGTTGCACAGAAAACTCCAACAGTTTTAGAATTCCTTTGTATTTGTTATATTCATTTTCTCTGGCTGTTTTTAAAGATGTTTTTCGTTTTCTAAAATTTTAGTATAACATACTTCCTACATGTTTTTGTTTGCATTAACATTTGTACTGCTTGTGTAGTACTCTTTTTCAAAATTAATTTTATTGGTACATTTAAAGGTATACAATGTAGTGACATTCATCATTGGAAATTTTCACCTTTACATAATCCATCTTGGTTCTTATTTTTTCTGCATTTCCCTGCCCTCCCTAACTCCCCCTACCACTCCCTATCTACAAAGACTTTGTTTCCATTTTTTCTTTTTCTCATGTTAATTCCATTCCCATCTTAGTACTCTTTATTTCTTGATTTCTTATTTTACAAAATTCTCAGCTATTTCTGTTCCAATATTGTTTCTTCCCTATTCTCTTTTTTCACATTTTATGATTATTATTACATGTGATAACTTTTAATCTCATTTGTCTTGTATTTGTCAATCTGAATTGCTTATTCTTTGGTCTAGATATATATTCTGATTTCTTTCTCTTTTTTTTTGGTGTCACAGATTGAAGACCTTGTGCTTGTGAGGCAGGTGCTATGCTGCTGAGCTACATCCCTGGCCCATTCTGCTTTCTTTTTAATCACTAATTTTTCTTCAATTGAGTCTAATTTGCTGATAAACTGTCTTTTAAAGTCTAATTTCACCTTTTCCAGCTTTTGTCTGCACTTGTGTGCGTGTGGTTTCTAGTTATTTGCCAACTCTGTCTTGTAAAAATGATAGCATAGTTATTTAAAAATCTTTGTTGTATGGTGCCAACATCTGCTTTTCTAATAGGTCTCTTTCAGTTACTAGTCTTACCTTCTTTTGTCCGATTATTTTTGACTGAATGCTACTAATAACATGTGAATAGTTGTAGTTGTTTGGATAAGTTGATGTGATAATTGTAGGTACCTGGGTAATGTAATGATGTGTTATTGCTCTCGAGAGGTTTTGTCTTTGCTTCTGGCTTACAGCTATTGGGATACCAGAAATCCTAGGTCACCTTCATCAGCTCAGGGCGGAAATGACTTGAAGCTGCATTTTAGTTTCTATCAGGCTCAGAGTAAGGCTGATTTACCCGTACTCCTAAAGGTTAGTCCTTTATGATTCCACTCAAAAGCCTGAGAGATTTACCAAAGTATTGTTCTCTCAATTTTGTGTCTCTTCAAAACTCTGCTTAGCCTATTATATATTCTGTTGTTACTTTCACTTTTAGAATTGTTCTTCATATATTTACCATCCTCCAATCTCTAGCCTGCTGCAGCCCTCAGCAGATGGTTATCTTTGAAACTGGCCAGCATTTTCTTATTTTTACGAGTTGTTTTAATGTGTTCCAGCTGGCTTGTACCACCGTACATACATATCTGTCCCATCAGGTGATCTGTAATGCCCTACAGCAAGAAGTCTGAATTATGGCCCTGTTGTGAACATGTTAAACCACCTACTTTGCTCTTTATCCTGCAAATAATTTTAAATTAGAATATAAATTGTAGTGCTGTTAGATGATATGGAACTCTTAGATGACTGAGAACAGGGAGGAACCCAATGACAGAGACCTCTGTGATATCTCTGCACATAATAAAGAAAGGCTTTTCTATTTATGGTCAAGCCCAGTTCCAGGCTTTCATAGATGGTGAAAAATGGCACCTTATTTGAAGCGGATTTTAGTTTCTATTAGGGACAGAGTACTTCTGACTCACCCTTACTTCTAAAGTTTAATCCTTTAAGATCCCAGTGTAGTCATGTAAGGTATGTTCCCTAAGTTTCTGTACTAGTTGGGTATGTGACTTGAACTCTTGCCTTCCTGTTCAGGTGTTTGAACCCTGATAATAGTTCTTTAATACTTCACAGCATATGAGTTGATGTCTTAGTAAATTTGTTAAAAATAAAACCATCATCTGTCTACAGAAGATGAATTTCATTCCTTGTAATTGAAAGGATTATAATATTAAATCGGTATTAGCTAAAAAGATTATAGCATTTTAAATGAACCATTTGAGCTTCACTAATCTATTTTATATAAATGCTTCATAAAAGTCATCGGTCTGGCTTTTGATCTCTAGGGCATAGATGAGAAATTATGCTCAGAGGGTCTTAGTTACTTTTTGAGCTGAGTTTTCAACATTTAGTCCCTGGCTTCAGTGACTAAATAACTTTTCTGTGTAGATTTTTATGTAATAAATTGCTATCTCACAAAATAGACTGTGGGTGCTTACTTGAAGATAAAACCCAGTATGTAATGATTTCTCTTATTAGTTGATTGCAAAGGGAGGATTGACTAATTCATCTAAGAGTTAGATTTAAAAAAACAAACAACAGATTTTAGAATGGCTACTGCCATTTTTGGTTAGTGTCATGGGCAGAAATGAGAATTGAGAGCTCAGAGTATCTGTTTTATTCAAAATGTAAGAATATCTAGGGGAAAGCCTTCCAGATCATTACCATTAGCTAAGATACCTTCCCACACTCTCTTGAGAAGGAAAATCAGTGTGCTTCCTCAAGTTACAAATTTATAGTTATTAGGGCAAAGATTATGGTGGGTCTGCTATCTTCTATATGCAGAATGACAGATTCTAAATTTGAATGTGTGGTATTGTCAGGCTGGAAAAGTAATTATAGGACTACTACATTGCCGTAGCATTTGGAATCTTCTAAATAGAAGTACTAAACCCTTTAAACACAGTAGCTATATCCCTATACATGGTCATAAATATTTTTCTTCCTGAATTGGTATGAACCATGATATTCCAGGATTTGTTATCTGTAGCAAGATACTTTTGTTGAGTGATTACTTTTATATAACGATATCTAAAAATAAATCTTATATTTCCTGGATTATAGGACTCACCTGAATTTATTTACCTGTAAACACAATTTTCTGTGAAGTAACTATTATACGTTAAAAGGATGTTTCACTAATATATTGCATTTCAGATTAACATATGTGGATACCAGTGTGAGCGTATGCACAGTATCTGTGTCACTTTCTGCTTCTCTGAGGTAGTTATATTTATGGGATAGTCAAGAGTTTCTTCCTTCATCCTTATTTCCTATACAGCACATTTAAGATGCTGTATGTTTTTGTTGATGTTTCTCGCTCTTCTTTTTCTTTGGATTGTGATAATTTTTCTTTCTTGTTTATATTTAGCCTTAGCCTATTTTCTTGACTGTTTTCTGCCTTATCCTTTTAGATCCCTGTCTCTTGTCTTCCTTCACTCATGCATCCATCCAGTGATAATCTCTTCACTAAATGGAACCTTTCAGTTAGTTACTTAGCCATTTCCTCACTGTGATTAATTTCTAGGTGTTTAAAAATTATTTATGGCAGTGTATTTAATGTGTCTTTAAATACCTTTGAGAGAATTTTTTTTCTTTGTTTGCTCTTGAAAATTCCCTAAAGTTGTTACACAGAAAACTTCCAAATAGTTTTTTTAATACCCTAAGTTTTACTATATGAACAACTACAAAAATTTTATTTACTTTTACTGTTTCTACCATTAACTATAACAAAGAAGCTTTTTAACCTATAGTGAAATATGCTGATAAAGTTGAATATTCTTTCACTTTATTGCCTTACATTAAGATTGCTCAAGTATTACAAGTCTTGTGCAGATAAACAAATAAAAATCACATTTGAGTTTTCTTTATTCCTGAATTAGATTTGTCATTTGACATATATGAGGGTCAGATTACTGCATTACTTGGCCATAGTGGAACTGGAAAGAGTACATTGATGAATATTCTTTGTGGATTATGCCCGCCTTCTGATGGTGAGAGATTTTCGATTTAAAATAATTGTTTTGCTTTGTTTTCTTAATGTTATTAAGAAGATATTACAAGATACTGCATTTATCCTTTAAATGTACACAGGATTATTTTTACCAGCAATTTGGGACCAACCTCTGTATCTGTGAAGGTATTTTCTCTACTACACATATTTGGTTGTTTTTCAAGACAAAATAAAAATGAGTCCATGTTTAATAAAGTAAAAAAGGATCTAATTTTGTTGCTGTTTTTATCACATAGTTAAATATATGTCTTCATGTTTTTTATTTTCAAGGAAATATAAATCAGTAATTTGAAATTAAATCAAACCTGTAGACTATTTCAGGTTAAAAAAGTAAATATAAATTTCTAAATACATAGCAATAATTCAAAAGAATGATAAATAATACTATGTCCTAAAATAAAATTAGGGACATACTTCAAAGGTATAATTTTGATCTGTAATTGTTCTACAGGTATGCATTATAAGAAGCCCTCATGTTTCTGCAGTAACCAAGACATGGCAGTAAAATTAATATTTTACTTTATAAAATGGCTAAACTATAATCTTTATTTCAACCTTTTAAATGCAGTTCAACTTTGGAAATTATTTTAGTTTTGTTCTTCATCCTTAATCATGCCACTCTTGGATTTAATCTTATCTAACATTTACTTAAAGATCCATGATTTTTATTATAGCTCTTTATAAATTATCACCTTGATTAATAGTTCTTTCGTAGGCTGTTGTTAGTATTCAGTTTATAGAGAAAAAAAAGCTGGAATTCAGAAACAATTTGTTTAAAACTACAGAGATAGGATAAAACTATTCTTCAATCTCGCTATTTTCAAAATGAAGAAAAATTGGTCCTCAAATATAATTATAAACGATACATCAATAGATATTTATGTTTGATGTTAATTTGTTGGTTCCTTGCTCCTTCCACAGTGTAATACGGCCTGGAAGTCTAGAAAAATGAGATCGATATGTAAATGGAGGCATATCACTAATAATATGGAAATGAGCCTTATATATATATATATATATCGCAACTACCTAGTTATATAGGAATATATATGCATTGTAATACTAAATGTGTTTAATATAAATATATACTTTGCTTTTAGGGTTTGCATCTATCTATGGACATAGAGTCTCAGAAATAGATGAAATGTTTGAAGCAAGAAAAATGATTGGTATTTGCCCACAGTTAGATATACACTTTGATGTTTTGACAGTAGAAGAAAATTTATCAATTTTGGCTTCAATCAAAGGAATACCAGCTAACAATATAATACAAGAAGTATGTTATTCATGTAGAAATCTTCACTTCATGTTCCTTCACTTCATGTTCCTTCAAATCTCCATATTCCTTATAAATTAACTACCTTTTGTTAATAACTTGTACAATAAAAATATGCTTGAAAAGGCTAAATATAAAACTTCTGGGGCTCCGGGGATTTAGCTCAGTGATGTCACTGCCTGCCTTGCAGCACAAGGTCCTGAGTTCGATCCCTAGTACCAAAAAAAAAAAAAAAACAAAACTAAAAAGCTTCTGTTACGTCTGTAAACAAAATTATTACAAAGAACTGTACATAATTTGGAGTAAATGTTTTAGTATATATAAAAAAGTCCTTGTTTTTTCTGGAGGATACTTGTTTCTTCACATTTCCTCTGCTCACCCTTCCCCTTTCCTCTCTGTTTTCACTTCTACTCCTTATTAACATTGACACTGCTGTTTTATCTTTCTTCCTCACTACTTAGGAAAGTACAAAAAAAAAAAAAAGTAGACAGTCCTCTTTCTCAAGAAACCCATTACTTGTTATTGTCAGAATTATACATGAATATTTGTCAAAATTAATTTCCACACAAAATGAACATTTTGAGAAATATTAAAATTACTTACAAACTCATATTCAGTAATTCTTAAAAATAATGCTTCAAAAATTCAGATATTTAAAAGGTGATATAATTATGCAAATGATATGATTTTAAAAATGAGTTTTTACACTTTTCTTTTACAGGTGCAAAAGGTTTTACTAGACTTAGACATGCAGGCTATCAAAGATAACCAAGCTAAAAAATTAAGTGGTGGTCAAAAAAGAAAGCTTTCTTTAGGAATTGCTGTTCTTGGGAATCCAAAGGTAAATAAATATTAATTTTACTTATGAAGTTATTTTAAGTTATCTTTCTTAGATTAAAAAAATCAGGCGGTGGAGAGATATGATATATAGAGTTTAAATATACACATTAATGGATCAGAAAGATTTAACATCATGATACTGGGGAATTAAAGGAGTGAACTTCAGTTATGTCTGTAGTGTGTGTGTGTGTGTGTGTGTGTGTTTGGAAAGAGCTGAGTGGGTGCAGTGGCATATTTCTGTGGTACTATTCAGGAGGCTGAGGCATGAGGACTGGTTGAGCCTGAAGTTCAAGAGCAACTTGGACAATATAGTAAGACCATGATTCAAGAAAAAAGAAAAAAAACAAAGGCCTGAAGAAAGTAAGGCCCCCCCCCAAAATATCTTTGATGATATAACAGTATTATTCTACTATTTTGTATATATTTAAAAAATATATTTTGAGTTCATAATAAAAGTTAAGATAGGAAAAAAATGAAAAAATATTTCAATTTCTTACTGTATTATTCTTTGATTTTGCATGTTTTTGTTTTGTGCTGTTCTCTGCTCTATAGACACAGAGAAGCAGTTGATATACTGCCTTGCACAGTGCCAGAAAGCTCAGGTTATATGCCTGGAGCTTAGACCCTCACCGATGCCCCCTGTCCTGTTATATCACTCTTTTCTGCTACAGCTCAGAGTGACTCTGGTTTTATGTTAATCAACCTTCTGCCTAGTTCATACCACTATTTTAAAAATTAGAAATAGTCTTGAAGCAAATTGCTTGTGTTGGATTATATAAGGTATACATCTCTAAAAAGCAGTTGTTAACATGTGCAAAGTTAATTGTCAAAGATGGTAAAAATTTACTTTTATTTATATGATTGTTATAGCTTTTTATTACAGAAATTAGCCTTTTGAACTATACTAAGGAAAATATTCAGTCATAATTTAAAAAATATATACAGACTCAAATATGAGTGGAAAACTGATTTAATGTATTTCTGATTGAAAGTAATTGGCAATGGAGAAGCTTTTCAGTAGTCTCCATCGTTTTCACACAGATACTACTACTAGATGAACCAACAGCTGGGATGGACCCCTGTTCTCGTCATATTGTTTGGAATCTTTTAAAATACAGAAAAGCCAACCGGGTGACAGTGTTTAGTACTCATTTCATGGATGAAGCTGACATTCTTGCTGGTGAGAGTTTTGCTTTATTTTTAAAGGTTAAGGAAATGGTCATGGGCCAGAAGGAAGATGAATATAGAAGTGTTTGATCCTGAAAAATAGAGAAATGGTTATCTCATAGTGTAGTTCTGTCCAGTTTTTTTTTTTTCAGCTTTAATTGAGTTTATTGGTACATTTTAGGGATACAGTACAGTTACATTCATTGTTGGGATCTTGTACCTCTACATGACAGGTCTTGATTCTCATTTTTTCCTCTTACCTCTGCCCTCCCTTCACCCCCTCCTCCCCTCCCCATCTACAAACACTTTATTTTCATCTTTTCATTCTCTCACATTTTTTTCTTTTCCCTTTTTACTCTTCCCCTACCCATCCCACCTTCCCTACACCTTTAGCTCCTTTCTTCCCATTTCTAAATGTCAGTAATCTTATTAGAATCTTATGCATTGTTGTAGATTATTTACACCAGGGAAACTATTCGGTATTTATACAAGTGTGATTTATTTATTTCACTTAGGAGTATATCTTCAGTATGTATCCATTTTCCTATGAATGAATCTATTTCTGTCCAGTTTTTTAACTTTAAAAATTACATATTTATATTGTGGGTGTTCCCCAGACCATGCCACTCTTCAGCAGTTTCCTAGGAGAACTCATAGGTCTTAGCTCATGTTTGTAATTCATTATAGTGAAAGATGTAAAGCAGAATTAGCAAAGGAATAAGTTATATGGGAAAAACCAGATACAAGGTTCCTAGAGTTTCTCTCATTGGAATCACATATGGTGCATTTAATTTCTCTAGGACCAAGTTGTAATTACATGTGTGAAATATTTTGTACCAGGAAAGCTTGTTGGAGACCCATTGTCCAAAGTTCTTACTGAGTGCTGGTTATATAGGTACCCTCTGCGTTATACTTGCCAAAGTTCCAGACTGACTGAAGAAAAGCAGGTGTTCAGCACAAACCACATTGTATAGTTTAGTCAGAGTGAGCCACCCTTGCCTGTTTTGACAGTAATAAGAACTCTCCCAAAATCTATTCCTTGATGCCAGCCAAGGGCTAGCCTTGCAAGCAGGCCATTCTGAGGACAGCATCCTCAGGCTTGCTGTGTTGTTTTCTGCACAGCTTTGTGAGCTGGGTAACACATGGGTTCAGATACATATGGCAAGATCCAGGAGATTGAAATTATGTTGCAGCTTTCAGTTTATAATATAATTAATAAATTGAATAAGTCATTCGTCTTTTCAGCAGTATCTTTGTTTTTAAAAAAATGTTTCATTATTTCTGTTTCTTCTTTGTACATCTGTTTATAAAAGAAACCTGATAAAACTTCAGCATTAGTAAGTCTTGTGGGATGTAAAGAAAGTGTTCTTTAGAATCAGATTGCCTAGTTATGGTTCCTGGCTTTGTTACGTAATAGCTATGTGAAACACATAGCCTCAGTGTTCAAATTTGAAAAACTGGTACATAAATTGACGGTAATCTAGTATATTCCTCATAAGATAGTTGAGTGTTTCTCATATATAATAACTGGTAAAATGTTATTGCGAGTTATTACCACTGTAATCAGAAATTGAAATGTAAATCTCTGCTTGCAGATCGGAAAGCTGTCATATCACAAGGAATGTTGAAATGTGTTGGTTCTTCAATTTTCCTCAAAAGTAAATGGGGGATTGGTTACCGCCTGAGGTACTATTCATTCTTTGTCAGTTTTATTCCTTATATTTATTCTTGGTCAACTGTTATTTTAGCTTTGTACATAGTGTGCCTTCTCCATCTTTTATGCTAAATTTAAGCATTCAGATTTTATTTTTCTTTGTTTATTGATCATAAAAATTAGGATTTTTTTGTTTTTTCTAGCATGTACATAGACAGATACTGTGCTACGGAATCTCTTTCTTCACTGGTTAGACAACATATACCTGGAGCTACTTTGTTACAACAGGATGACCAACAACTTGTGTATAGCTTACCTTTCAAAGACATGGACAAATTTGCAGGTACTACTTTCAGAATTTTGATTGTTGAGTAGGGATTTTTATATGGGATATAGGTTTTCTTGATTTCCTTTTTTGTTAATTTCCATGTCCCCAGGTGACCAGAATACTCCATTTCTGATTTATTTGTTTTTGAAAACCTGAACTATACACCGATGTCTCTTTTGTTTTTATACTATTCAAGAAACCAGATTGTATTGACTTAGATATAAGGAAAATATAAAAGTAACTATGTGCTCAAAAAATTTTGCTCCATTTGCTTGTAGGTGTTCTGAAGATATATTACTAATTATATATACTTTGAGTTATTTTCTAATTTCATGATTCTATAATGAATTATGGTATTTTACTCTCTTATTAATGAATTAGGTCATTGCTTTTCAGCTTTAAAATAGAAACTCAAATTAAGTCCCCTCTTTCATTTCATAGCAAATAGGATGTTAATGATGTAGAAGGCCCATAGTATTTACTTCATAATTAGAAATTTACTTTCTATAGTAGTTTAGTTGGTTTATTAAAAAAGAAAAGAAGTTACTAATTCTCTTGGTCACCTTTCCCATTGCTAGGACACAATACTTGATATCTACAACCTAAAGGAGAAGTTTATTTGGCTCCTGGTTTTAGAGGATTCAGTCCACGGTTGGCTAGCTGCAAGTCCGTAAACATTGTGATAGAAGGACTTGGTGAAGCAAAGCTGCTTAATTCATGGGATCCATGAAACAGACTAGGAGAACAGCACCAGAGAGATGGGACCAGTGGCCAAATATAGACCACAGGGTGACTCTTCCATGACCCACCCAGACATGCCCACAAGTGTGCTTTACTAATTCCGTAGGTCAGAGGTGGTGAGCCTGTTAGAGCTTTTAATGATAACAGCCAGTTGAGACACACATGCCACCCAAAGGTTTGCCACCACTTCCCTAGGAGTTTCTTAACCCAGTCAAGTTGATAGTCACTATCAGTAGTCACACTGATTAATTGGATTGATGTCTGGATGCCAGGTACCTTGTCTGTGATCCCATCTACTTGTAACTACCTGTTCTTTAGTAACATATATACAGTGCTTTATTTTATCACGGATGCTAGACTCTGCCTTTTACAATTATTAGTTTAATCATCCCAGTATTTCAACAAGTGTGTGAGATAAGTACTATTATTGCTTATATTTTATAAATGAGGAAATAAACAGAAAAATTAGGGAGCTTGCCCACCATCCAAACTTAACACAGGTGGAAAGTGGTGGAGCTGAGTTGTGAAACCAGGCAGCCTGGTCCCAGTACTCCCTTTTTTTTTTTTTTTTCATTTTATTGCCTTTTGTGTTTTGTTTTTTGTTTTGTTTTTTGTTTTGTTTTTTGTTTTTTTGGTTTTTTTTTTTTGGTACTGGGGATTGAACTCATGTACTTGCGCTTGCAAGGCAGGCCACCGAACCGCTGAGCTAAATCCCCAGCCCTCCTTTTGTGTTTCTTTGATAAATTATTAAATTATTTCACTAGATTTATAAGTATGTTCTGGGAAATGCAAGGGTGACTCCTAAGACCTCTTGAAGCAATTCTTATGAATTGGTCAACATTTTTTTTCTAATACAGTGATATTATTTTCCCTTTTAACCTGCAGCTTCTCATGTACAGTGTTTTCTGGAGATTGCATAACTTTATCAGGACATACTGGATATAGAAACAGGACATATTGGATATAGAAACAAATATGAGAACTCATCTATCCCCTATTAACACAGATATTCAAGAAATAAAAGTGTCATTTTCTCATTGGTTTCTTTTGTTCTAAAAAATACTTTAAAAATAAAATTATGGTAACATACAATAGGTTTTTTTTGTTTTAAAAAGAAACTAAGTTCTTAAATGACTTTTCTACTATGTTACTTAAACTTTTAATATAGTAACAATCTCAGTTTTAATTTCAAGTTTTACAAACGTTTCTTAGTTTTAGTTTATAATATGATAAATATCTAATGGCTGTATTCTCGTAAAGAAAATTTTCTTGGGATCCTTAGCAATTTATATTAAGTGTCCTGAGTCCAAAAATTTTCAAAAATACTGTGCTAGCTGAGTAAATTTAGTCATATTCTGTTTTAAATATTTTAGAACAATTTAGGATAGTATGTTTACCTCTACACTATACTTTCATTGTTTTTTTCTTTTAGGCTTATTTTCTGCTCTAGACATTCATTCAAATTTGGGTGTTATTTCTTATGGTGTTTCCATGACAACTTTGGAAGATGTATTCTTAAAGCTAGAAGTTGAGGCAGAAATTGACCAAGCAGGTAAAAAAACAGGATTAAGAAAACATTTTAGACAATGAACTAGACAGATCATTAAAAAGACAAATAATTATATAAACATATGAAGTCTGTTATTTTAGGGAAGGAAATGCAAAAGTAAGTGAAAAAGTTATTGAGATATTTATGAAAGTGAAAGGTATTAAAAAGGAAATAGCTAGATGTCCTTTGAAAGCAGTCAACTTTAATTGTATTGTCAGGGATGACTTTGTTGAGAAATACTTGGTGTGAGACCTGGATGACAAGAAAAATCCAGGGATACAAAGTTTTAGGACAAAAATTTTCAGATGAAGAGAATTGCTTTTGCAGAAGTGCTAGTTAAAGAATGAGTTGGGTGTCTTTGAGGGGAAAAAAAGAAGACCACTAATGGTGGAGTTATGGAAAAGAAAATAAACGGAAAAGACAGATGGTATGCAAAGAACCAGATCATGTTTTGCCTTTGAATATCTGGAAAAGAATTTGGTTTTCTTGGCGCAATGTGACGCTATCAGAAAGTTGTAAAAGCAAAGGAATAGTATGATTTTACTTGCATATCAAACACTGCCTTCCCGGCTGGGGGTTTAGCTCAGTGGTACCGCACCTGCCTCTGAAGCGCAAGGTCCTGAGTGAATCCCCGGTACCAAAAACTAAATAAGTAAATAAAATTAACAAATAAATGCCTTTCAATTGTTGAGTAATTAGCACATTTTAAAAGAAGAGTGGAAAGGAAGACCAGTTAGGATCCTATTACCATTAATTTTAGGTTGAATGAGACTGGTGGTAAAATAAGAGAACAGATTTGGGTTATATTGGTTGTAGTGACAGCGTGCTGTTGGATTGTTAAGGTTTCGGAAAAGGGAGTAGTCAAGTATTTGATTTGCAGGCTGGGAAAGGAATTACCCTTTCCTGAGAATGGTGAAGGAGTGGGTTTGTGGAAGGAAAAAATTCAGGCATGAGTTTTGGCTGTATTATTTGAGATGTAGCTGGAATTAAGTAAGGGCTGAAGATACATATTTTGAAGTTAAATATAGATGGTGTCAGGAATTGGATGAAATCACTTAGGTAGAAAGAATAGGTAAGATTTCCCCTTTTTAAAGGCATATACTATAATTTTTTTTTTTTATTTTGGCAAATAGATTTTAGTGTATTTTCACAGAAGCCACCAGAAGAAGAAATGGATTCAAAGTCTTTCAATGAAATGGAACAGAGCTTGCTTATTCTTTCTGAAACCAAAGCTTCTCTGGTGAGCACCATGAGCCTTTGGAAGCAGCAGGTGTCTACAATAGCAAAATTTCATTTTCTTACCTTGAAACATGAAAATAAATCAGTGAGATCAATGTAAGTATCTTTATCATTCTTTTGCCTGAGATAATTGGATTTTAAGGATACAAGTTTGATTTACTATGTTAATTTTTAAAATGTTGGCATATGTAAATAACCTGTGTAGTTTGAAAGATTAAAATAATTTCACAACGTTAGAGATAGTAATTGTAGTAAATATAATAAAGATCCGTAGAGTTTTTTCTGTTTTAAATTCTCATTTGCCATTTCATCTATAAGAGTTCACACTAATAGTATAATTTTTGAACTGTTGTTATTCTTTATTTTTTTACATTTATTTTTTGTCACTATCTTTAATTTACCCATTAGTATATTTTTTAATCTCTTGTAAATAGGAAAATAAATTTTACATATCAAGAAACATATAAAGAAGGCTAACTAGTAGAGGTGGGATTAAAATAAGATACTGACTTAGATTTAACCTTTCTCACTTAACACCCTCAATCTCTAGGGTGCTAGGAATTGACTTATTTGGAAATAATGTGGACTACTTTCATATACTATACCTTTAGTTAATAATCATAAACAAGAGAATTGTTGCATGTTAGAAATATGCTGATTTGCCTCTTTTAGTAAATTTATTCCAGTATCAAATGTCATTTAAGTATTTGATTTATTCCTGTGTCAGTGTTAGCTAAACAAAATGTGTTTAAATCAGCATGTTTTAGTTTAGTTGAACTGCCACCCTGAAAGTACTCTAGAAAATAATAGAAGTGCCTTTGCTTAGACTGTTATAATAAAATTCCACAGATAAATCCCATAGATTTGGCCATTTAAGCAACAGAAATTTATTTTTTTCACATTTCCAGAGGCTAGAAATCTAAGATCGAAGTGCCTGCATAAAAGCCTTTGTAGATAGGGAGGGAGGGAGGGGTTAAAAGGAGGGCAGGGGAATGGGGAAAAAAATAAGAACCAAGATGGATTATGTAAAGGTGCAAATTTCCAATAATGAATGTCATTATATTGTATACATTAAATGTACCAATAAAATTAATTTAAAAAAAGCTCACTTCTTACCTGCAGAAAGTCACCATCTCATCGTATGCTCACATGACTTCTCTTGTGAATGAGACGTGAGAGAACACACAAGTAGCACATTCACATTTGCTCTGGTGCCTCTTTCATGGGCACCAAACATATCATGAGGACCACACCTTCTTGCCTTCATCTACCCAAATTACTTTCCACTTTGAAATAACAAGTCAGGGATTAGAGTGTCAACATGTAAATTTGAAGGGACACATCCAATTCAAAACAAAAGATGTTCTGTGGACAAATACAGTTAGGAAATGTTATATATTATGCCTATTAAGTTGTTCGTTAGTATATAAGAATACCAGAGAGGTACTATAATAACAACTTTTTCTTTAACTTTGTTTAACATGGAGATTACAAATAACGTCTAATCCTGATTTTTTTCGTTACTTAAAGCATCGATTACCTTATTATACAGTTTTATTTAAATGTAGTATGCTTTAGGAAATCATGATTTAAATAGTTCAAGAATGGAACTAAGAGATGGAAGGAGGAGAAAGGAAAAGGAGGGAGGGGTGTATGTAAAAAGAATTAAAACGTGTTATGTAGGGACTGTAGATTTAGCTCATTGAGTGGTGTCAGTCCCTGCCGTGCAAGCACAAGGTCTTGAGTTCCAGCCTTAGTACCCACCCCCCGAAATGTGTCATGTACCTGTACCAACTCCCACTATAAATGTAATTATTACATACTGCAAATATGTACTAAAAAATAAAAAGCATGCTGTGTGCTGGTGAGGAGGCATGGGGCTTTGTACTCAGTGATCACAGAGGGCCTTTCCAAGACATTCAGTTGAAATACAAATTTTTTCTTTTTTTTGGTACCGTGGATCATACTTGGGTCCTTGAGATTGTGAGGCAGGCAGCGTCACCATTGAGCTAAATACCCAACCCTGAAATACAAAATTTAAAAAAGAAGTGATTATTACTAATTATAAAGTATCAGAAAATTATAAATTATTAAATAAGATGTGATGATCTATGCTGTCCAAATGCATATGATACATGACATCTAATGTAGACATTTTGTAGGACAAGTAGGTGTTTTACAGATAGAAGGACATCATAGTATATTGCTGAGAGGTGAAACAACATGTAATGTGATTAAATTATTAATTAAATTATTAAGATGGAATTTTAAGAATATCAGTATTTCACTACATTTATTTCCTTCTTTATATCTAAGTATTGTCAGTATATGGAAAATTAATGATTAAATAGAGGCAGGACAAGAAGTATTGTAGTTCTTTCACAAAATATAGAGACAAACATTTCTAACAATGATTCTTTAGCAATTACAACTGCATGTTTACATACCTTCTAATAATTTATAGGAATAGATCTAAAATATATTTTCATAAACTTTTTTCTCCTCACTCACTTAAGACTTAATTTACGGCCGGGGATTTAGCTCAGTGGTTCGGTGGCCTGCCTTGCAAGCGCAAGGACCCGAGTTCAATCCCCGGTACCAAAAAAAAAAGGACTTAATTTAGACTTAATTTAAGAACGTTGGCATTCTCTTCATTATTATCATAAGGCTATGTTCAATAAATCTTTTAAAAAGATTTTCCTTTTGCCTGTCTTTTAACTGTCAAATTGATAACATATAAAAAAAGATTTTAATGGGATTATGTGTTGCTAAGCCTTAAATTTTTTTTTTTTTCTTTTCAGCTTGCTTCTGCTTTTAATTTTTTTTTCAGTTCAGGTTTTTATGTTTTTGGTGCATCATTCTTTTAAAAATGCTGTGGTTCCTGTCAAACTTGTTCCAGACTTATATTTTTTAAAATCTGGAGATAAACCTGATAAATACAAAACAAATCTGCTTCTTCAAAATTCTACTGGTGAGAGTGTGTGAAGGTCTGTGAATGTGTGTTGATTGGGCAGGGGGTTGTGGGGTAGATAGAATTCAGAGATTGGTATTTTAGAAATATTTAAGGTAAAAAGCATGGTGTGCCTGCACAGAATCTAAATTGAATGAAATATTTACCTTATTGATGCTGAATAGTATGTAATAGAAATGGGAGTTTGATTTAAATGTACTTGATAGTTTAAAAAAAATTCTAATTTTTACTACCTAAATCATTAGGTTCCTTTTTTAGAATAGTAGCAATATATGCATATATATATATTTTTTTTTTCCAGTACTGGGGATCGAACTCGGGTCCTTGCACTTGCAAGGCAGGTCACCGAACCGCTGAGCTAAATCCCTGGCCCTAGAATAGTAGCAATATTGTTAGCAGCATGCTTTTTTTTTTCAAAGTTCATGATGGGCAAAACTGGCTTGAAGTTGTAAAATTTTCTTTAGAAGGAGCTACCATGTATAATATAAATGTACTTATACATCTACATAGAAATGTTTAATCCTTTCAGTGACTATCTAAAAAATGTGTTAAAATTTAAGAAAAAATAGGACCATGGATTTAGCTCAGTGGTTCTACTGCCTGCCTCACAAGCTCAAGGTCCCGGGTAAGGTCCCCAGTGCCAAAAAAAAAAAAAAAAAAGGTCATTCTTTCTGAAGAAGGTGCATTTAAGGCAAAAAATTACTCTTAAATAGAAAATGTTATATTTTGTACTTTTTTCTTTTACTTAGCATCATTTTCAGTTTTAATGTTTATCTTGGAATAGTATATGCATCTCAAAATCTTTCCCTTGGTTCCAAGCCATAGAGAATGTAGATTAAGACCTAATTATGTGTTTGAATATGTTGATATAGTTAAGGCACTTGGTACTTAACAACATTTACTTATGCCCTAAACATAAAAAAACCTTTAGGAAGTGAACTTACTGACCGTAGTGTATACCTTTCTGACTTTAGTTGCTTATCTTGTTACTTAAAATTGCCAAGTGGATTTTTATTTTCACTGTGTAATTGAACTCCAAGTGAGTATCATAGATATTTTTTCAATGTTAATAATTGTAGCAGCAGCAGGTACAATTTGCACATTTACTGTGTTCATATTCCTATTTATAATTCATTTAATTCTCATGATTACTGTACATATAAAGCAGATACACTTACTGTCCTCACTTTGTGCAAGAAGAAGCTAGGGTCCAGTGCATGTACGTACCTTGCTTGAAGGACATAATGTAAGTGGTACAACTTGGATGTGAATGAAGGCTGACTGGCTCCAGAGTCAGTGCTTTTAATTATGTCTTAGTTGTGAAGATTAAACATTTCTCTAAAAAGAGAAGCATCCTTCCATTGTTATTAAAAGTCTGTTCTGTGTCTTATCTAAACTGATTCTTTATTATTTGCTTATTTTCTAATACCAGAATCAGATATCAGTGATCTCACTAACTTTTTTACATACCAGAACATACTGGTGACGATGTTTAATGACAGTGACTATGTGTCAGCTGCTCCCCATAGTGCAGCTTTAAATGTGGTGCTTTCAGAAAAGGTAAGACGGATGCATGTGAAAGAATACTCATTTAGGAGTGATAAAAGATTAAATTATTTCCTCTAAAATTATTTGCTGAATTGACCTCATTAGTTGGAAATTAGAATCTACTTTTAGAACAGCTAGCTGTGTTATAGGTGATATATTTTATGCCTGATAAGTAACCAATATATAAAAGTATAAGAATTTTAATTTTATTTTTATACTTTTGCATAAAGTATCAAAATGCCTGTACATTCCAAGTCAGGTCATTTTTATCTGTCATAAAGTACTGTCTGATTTGTTGAAGTAGCTTTTATGAGAATTAAGTAGCTTGTGAGGAAAGGTTGGTGCATAGCAATAGTACATCTGCTTATATTTATATAAAGTATGTAATTAGTCTCTTTTTTTAAATTATAGGACTATATTTTTACAGCTGTTTTCAACAGTACTATGGTTCATTCCTTACCTGTATTGATGAATATCATTAGTAACTACTATCTTTATCATTTAAATGTGACCGAAACCATCCAGATCTGGAGTACCCCATTCTTTCAAGTAAGCAAAGATACATATAGATGAATATATATAAAATACAAGGCAGTTATGATCTCATGGAATGCTGAGCCAGGGCCTGGTTGTCTGCTAAGACACACTATGGGTTCTGTACCCTGCCCCATGAATATATGTTCTTACAGAAGAAGGGTAAGAGTGGCTTATTGGGGTTGCAGGATGATATAGCTTTGTAATTTGCATTTGAGATGCCAACTATTTACTGACTTGTCTGGGAAAGTTGGCTGACTATAGCTTGATCATCGCAGTGCTAGGAACTGTAAGGAATAAAGTCTCCCCAGCTCGGGAGTTGTTGGTTCCATAGGAGACTGAGCTTGGGGCGAGAAAGACATCTCAGGATCCCAGCAAGTGTATAGTCCACACGAGTGAAGAGTACCAACCATCATCCCTAGATATTTCTTACCATTGTATAGGGTAACTAGTGGACACACTAATTGCTTTTCATACATAATATTATTTTTTATTAAATGGTGAAGTTTGATTTATATTCCAGATTTTTTTGTGTCATAGCTAAGAAAATGGAGTACAGTGATTTGTTGAGGCTTATACAGCCTTGTGTAAATTGGTTCATGACAGAGTAGGTACTTACAGTCCACTGCCACCTGTTAATAAGCCTGCAACCCATTCTTTCATACAGGCTGCCCTTGGGGTAGATATCCTAATGTATTCCTTCAGAGGGTTCGCTACTCTTTTAGTATGTTTTAAGATGATATAAAGTGGTTCTCAGTTGTATTTCTTATTCTGTGTTTTTCTATGTTTGTCTTTCAGGAAATTACTGACATAGTTTTTAAAGTTGAGCTGTATTTTCAAGCAGCTTTGCTTGGAATCATTGTTACTGCGATGCCACCTTACTTTGCTATGGAAAATGCAGAGAATCATAAGGTAACTAAGTTAATAATGCAGTTCTTGTTTACTAAAAGAAGTGTCATAGAAATAAACTATTTGCATGATTTGTGAGTTTTAAATATTGTTTCAGGAGTTAAGATTATAAATATACTATGTTTATTATAATAACTAATAATATTTGTCGTGTGAACACCTGCTATATGCTTTAAAATTATATCCTCTAAACTTTACAAAAAAAGATGTATTTTACCTACTTTATATATAGATCAGGAAATAGTGTATGGGATTATCCCTATAAATTCCTCCGTTTGACTGTTTCATGGTGGATTTGAGAACTGACTGGGATCTTTACATCTTCTTGTTTTGTTTTTGTTTATGTTTTATTTTTGATTACTGGCATCAGACCCAGGGCCAGTTTACTACTGAGTTGCATTTCCAATTCCTTGTATTTTTTATTTTGAGACAAGTTCTCACTGAATTGCTGAGCCTGGTCTCAAACTTGCATTCATTCAACTTTGAATTCCCAAGTAGCTGGGATCATCATTGTGCATCACTAAGTCTGGCTGCTCTTTGTGTTCTAACCTGGCACACTGACCTGCTTTTCCTTCATACCCTTTAAAGACTGTATTGAATGTACAAGGCACTTATCCTTGAAAAAGGAAAGATGAAAAATGATTTCAACACTGCAGCCTAGGAAAAGTTCCTAAGTGTATGGAGACTCTTTGGTGGTATTGCTTCACTGTCTTTGCTGCACCTTTCTCTGGGGTTTCCCTTCAGACATGCAATGATTAAATAGTCTTCTGGCTGTCAACCTTCTACTCTACCACTGTGTTAAATTAGATCTTATTCCTCTAAGCAAAACTCTTATTGTTTCCATAATGAGATCTTAATTTGAAAATGAGATAACCTGAACTAATTTACAGAATATTATGAATAATAAGCATAAGCTCATTTTTGTTTTAAAGAAATTAAGTTTATTTTTAAAAGTTCTAGTATATTTTTTAAAAATTTATTGCAAATTAATGTAAAAGTAATACATAAGTTTCAGATTTTAAAAATATTCGTTTTGTGTTATGAGTATATGCATGTTTATAGTAATTTAGAAAATATAGAAAAAATATAAAGTTAAAAATCCATTGTGCCACCACTCTAAGCTAAAATTTATTAGATATACTTTCTTTCAGCTTTAACGTCTTCAAATTAAACTTTGAGATAATGGTAGATTGATTTTCACGTGTAAGAAATGATACAAGGTCCTGTGAATTCTTAACTCATTTCTGAAAAACTATAGGGTCACGAGTATTGACATTGACACAGTCATGTCACAGGGATTGTTCTGTCCTCTAGCCATGCATCCCCCTTTCTTTTTCATCCCTACCCTGTGGAAACCATTAACTATTCTCATTTTCACAATTCTGATAATTTCAAGTATGAATGAATGGAATGGCAGTATGTATTCTTTAAGAATTAGCCTTTCCACCTCAGTGCAGCGATGGCAAACCTTTTAAAGCTTCAGTTATACAAAGAGCCCACTTGGAACCTGTGCCATAGTTTTGCCACCCTTGCCTCAGCATAGCTCCCTTGTGTTTTTGGCAATTCATCTAATTTATATGTATCAGTAGTTCATTTGCTTTTGTTGTTCAGTAGTATTCCTCGGTGTGGATAGATATGAATTTGTTTATTGCCTGTGAAACGTGCATTGTTTCTACTTGCCATTATTATGAATACAGTGGCTATAAATACAGTTTATGTGAACCTATGTTTTTATTTCTCTAGGGTAGATGCTGACTTGACTTGGTTTATGTTTTTAAGCTTGTATTAGAATTTACATATATGATCCTATAATTCACTGAACATAAAACTTGTCCATTTTTTTCCTTTTTGTTTTTAGCTCATCTTTATATTTCTTGGTTCCCTTGTCTCACTATATAGTCAGCTCTTTGGTATGAAACCTTTAATTATTAGGAATAGATGAGAAAGCAATTAAGACTGTTAGGTATTTGGATTTGTAAAAGAATTGTTGAATTTTAAATAATGAGTGTGTGAGATGGGAAAACTGATTATTTAAGCTTACTGTTAATATACATGAAATTTTACTTGTGGTAGACATTTTATTTGTATACAGGGTTTTACAATCTGAAGCCCTGTGCAAAGCCAGAGATATTTGGAAGTTTATTAGGGTTTATATTAAAGATTAATTTTTAAAAATGGGAATCCTTTTCCTATTCAAAAATATCTTTCTATTTCCACAGATTTTCAAAAGCAAGTATTTAGCTTTGAACAGCCGTAACCTTGACACCTTTTGTCTTATTTTATTGTATTCTGATTTTTAAAGTTTTTGTTTAGATTATTGCATCTCAGAAATAATGAGCCCAATTAAGGCCTACATGGCATTCTGTATTTAGTATCAGGAGGATATTTAGTACCTATAGGCCTAGAATGTCACCTTTTTTGTTTTGTTGCTATAAAATTAAGAATTCTACAGTGCTTTGCTATTTTTTTGTGAAATATCTAAGATTATATTCTTTTCTTTTTAATTTTTAGATCAAAGCTTATACACAACTTAAACTTTCAGGTCTTTTGCCGTCTGCATATTGGATTGGGCAAGCTATGGTTGATATGCCCTTATTTTTTGTTATTCTTATTTTGATGCTAGGAAGCTTATTTACATTTCATCATGGATTACATTTTTATGCTGTAAAATTCCTTGCTGTGGTAAGTTAACGTCAATTGGATTCATGCTATTTTTACTTAAAATGTTGCCTAAAAGCTAGTTATACACAGCTGTGAGTGTATATAGATATCTATATGTATATAATTAATATAGATATTATTTTTGAAAAGAAAATAGAGCCAGTGTTTATTGTATATGATTATATATAATCCAATTTGTATTACTGTGTGATTTTTAAAAATAATAGCTTACTACCATTAAAATTAATTTCATGAAACTGAGTTATACTGGAGATTATGTACATACTTGTGTGTCATCATTCACACTTAAATGCATCCCTCCAATAACAAGTCTTCCTTGTCTGTTCTTATGCTTGAGCATGATTTTACAAGAAAGGAGTTCTTTTATTCCATAATTTAGGATATGGCTTAAAAGACAAAGAAATCGTCTAATTCACTTGCATGTTTACATGTAAATGATGATAGAAGATTCTTTCATTAAATGAATTTTGTTAGAACAGAAACAAAGCTAGGTGACGTTGGTTAAAAATAAACATCAGTTTTGTTGAAGATCGTGCTGACCTTATATATTAATTTCTACCATGTGAATGAATAATAAGTGCTTTTCTTAAAACTGATATTAATGCATTAAGTATGATATATTAAAATACTAGCTCATAGTTGATGGAGATTGGTAAAGTTGTAACCTGTACTTGATTTTTACAATAAATTGATAATTTACCAGGTATTAAAAAAACTACAAAGTATTCAGTTTAAATGACTTATTAGGTGGTGCATGCCTGTAATCCTAGCACTCGGGAGGCTGAGGCAGGAGGATTGCTGTGAGTTCGAGACCTGCCTGGGCTACATAGTGAGTTACAGGTTGGTCTCAACTACATAGTGAGACCCTGTCTCAAAAATAAATAAATAAATAAATGACTTATTAGGACTGTATTAACAATGAATTTTAAAAGCACTATTTTAATTGATTTAGAAGTAGAGTTGATAGCTTTTCCGGTAACCACAATTTCAGTTTTTGGAATGACCTGTTGAATATAATATGAAGAATAATTATTACTTGATATTTTAATATGATTATGATACTTTGTATTGTGTGTATTACGGACTATTCAGACTTTTACAGAAATGTACCCATTTCTGATTTACAGGTTTTTTGCCTTATTGGTTATGTTCCATCAGTTATTCTTTTCACTTACATTGCTTCTTTCACCTTTAAGAAAATTTTAAATACCAAAGAATTTTGGTCATTTATATATTCTGTGGTAAGTTATATTTTATATTATTTCACTGTTTCATAGCAGTTTGTTTTAAAGTCATGAACTCTTTCTTGATTATAGTAAAAGATATTACATGTCTTTTATAAGTATATAATTGAGATGGAGAACTAGCAGCATATTTTTATGTTTATCTTCCACATCATCCATTCAATGAAGGGATGTTATTAAGAGCATTTAACAACTAGTGTGTGGTAAAGATACTAGCCACGGACAGTTAGTACTGTATCAACATTGATGCTTCCTGGCTAATATGATCTTTGGTTCCATATTTTATTAGGAAACAATGCTAATATTGAGGCCCCAATTTATAACTTAAGTTATTTGTGCAAAGTTTTTAAACACTTTATCTCTTATTTTCTTATTTTTTTCTTTAGACAGCGTTGGCTTGTATAGCAATCACTGAAATAACTTTCGTTTTGGGATACAAAGTTACAGCTGCTTTTCATTATACCTTTTGCATAGTCATTCCAATCTACCCACTTTTAGGTTGCCTCATTTATTTCATAAAGGTGAGTTTTGAGGTATTTTGATATTTTAAAGCATAAATACATATTGCTTAATTTTTGAGATCTTCTTGTACTGAAAATAGTGAAATGCATCAGATAAAGGTTAATTGCTATGACTTGATAAACTGTTCTTAATGCAACAACTGAAATAATTACGGGGTCCAGTCAGTTATAAATTGTTAAAATAGAACTGTGTCCACAGATTTTCTTTGATGATCAAAATGGTATATGTGGTATATATAATTAGAAGTGTGATCTGGTTTCAGTCAGTATTTGATATTAGAAGTTTTTAAAGGGTCGAATAATATATATAAAGGGATGAGAGAAAATAAAAGCGTAGAGGATTTTGTCCAAGTGAAAAAAAAAGCAGATTTGTTTATTAAAATACATAATTGAAAGAAATTTCCATGTGATCAGAAAACAATTAGATTACGAATTCTTGATTTAGGATTGCTGATTAATTGTTTTTACCATCTCCCTTTTTTTTTTTTGCTTTCAGTTTAATATACTTATGCCTACTTATATAGAAGTATTTTAGAGTAAGGAAGATTTTGAATTAAATACAGAAAGCTTATTAAGATGAATAGATAACCTATTCATAGAGAATAAGGGTTGCTAAACTATTTAAAAAATTTAAACCTAAATGTTTCTATATATGGAGTATATACATTTAAAAAACATATTGTCTTAGGTTTCTTGGAAAAATGAAGATACCTACAATCCATGGGATAGGCTTTTAGTGGCTGTTATATCGGTAAGAAATAACAAAAATCTTTTTTGTGTTAGTATGTTACCTTAAGAATGATTTGGTTGTCTGGTTTGAACTATGTTTAAATTTTATCTAGTTACATTAAAAAAAAAGTACATAAGAAGTGGAGTGTGTTAATGCTAGCTAATCTGCATTTCAGTAGTAATGTGTCTACCTTTTATTTATTTCCTGTGTCCACTTAATTATATTTAGCTTTTTTACAGTATTAATTTTAATTAATATAGTTCTGACTCCCTTAGAGACAAAGACAAAGGTTTTGTGTTTGGTTGTATTTTATGAAACTGAAAATGAGTAACAGGTAGAAACATAATTATATTTTGAGGCATGGGTCATGCATGTCTGTAACCACACCTGTTTGGTAGGCTGAGGCAGAAGCATCACAACTTCAAGGCCAGCCTCTGCAACCTAGTGGAACTGTGTCTCAAAGTTTAATAAAGGCCTAGAGACCGTAGTTTAGTGGTAGTGTTTACCTAGCATGTGGAAACCTTTCGATTTAATCCCATTACTGCTGGAAAAAAGACGTCTTTAGTTTGTATTACAATTTAGCCTGTGTGTAGCTTGGTGGTAGATTATGTACTTGAGCATATTTGAGGCGCTGAGATGAACAATATTACCTTTATCATGACAAAGATAACGAAGTGCAACTATTTTGTTGGTAATGGTAAGGAACCTCATATACATGGTCTTAGTTTTGTTGCCAGATGAAAAAGACAAAAACAAAAGACAATTCAGTCAGACTGTCTCATTCTTCTTTTAGCCTTACCTGCAGTGTATACTGTGGCTTTTCCTCTTACAATACTATGAGAAAAAACATGGAGGCAGATCAATAAGAAAGGATCCCTTTTTCAGGTCAGTTAATTTGTTTTGGTGAAGTTTCAGTGTTTTTAGTAAATTTGCCTAATTGTATAGCCATCACTGTAACACCATTTTAAAGCAGCTGTGGTACTCCAAAAACTAACCGAATCCATAAGCAGTTACTTCCGTATTTCTCTTTCCATGCCTCTAGCCCTGGGTTACCACTGGTCTACTTTCTGTAGTTTCCTTATTCTTAATATTTCAGAATTATGCAATATGTAGTCTTTTTATTTTTGGTCTGGCTTTTACTTAGAATAATAATTTTCCTTTTTATGTTAATTTTTATAAAATTAACAATAACATATACAGTGAAATTGAAGTTTGTATCCTCATTGTGATCAAAGTGCAAACTCAATATTTTAGATATCTATGTGAAACATTTTAAAACTTTTTAGGAAAAGAAATAATAATACATATTTTGAAAAACATAAGCCAAAATACAGTGATGGCTCTCTTAAGTATTTTAAGTATATTTAACCTTTATGTTTATTTATTTACTTTTCACCTTAGAATATACATTATTTTAATGCTAGAAAATCATTTATAAAATTGTTAGGATTTGGATATTTTTTACACTTTGCATAATGTTTGGTAAGTTCATTGTGTTATAGCATTAGCAATACTTTGTTCTTTTTCTTTATGCTGAACAAACATTATGTTGTATTCCGTGCTTTACAAATATCCTTTCATCAAGTGAGTTATTTGCACTTTTGGCTCTTATAAATAATACTACTATGCATGTTTGTGTACACATTTACATAGGCATATATTTTCACTTCTCTTGGGTAGCTTCCCTGGGAATGAGATTGCTGGGTCATATGGTAACTGTGTTGAGCATTTTGAGGAGTTGTAGACTGCTTTCTAGTGTGGTAGTACCACTTTATGTCCCTGCTTAGAATGGATGAGCATTTTCTTTTCTTCACGTCCTTGCCAATACTTGTTATTGTTAGTGTTTTGAATTTTAGCCTTTCTGGTAGGTGTGAAATGATGTCTCTTTGTGATTTTGATTTGCATTATCCTTGTGATCTTGTGATTCTTTTTTTGTGTGCGTGTGATTCTTGATGTTGAAAACCTGTTTACATGTTTATTGTCCATTTTAGATCTTCTGATAAATGTCTATTCAATTAATTACTTTGCACATTTAGCCATGGGGTTGTGTTAATGTTATTGAGTTGTAAGTTTTTAAGATATATTTTTGATGTAAGTCCCTTATCTGGCTGTAGAATTTACAAATATTTTCTCCAAAGGTGCACTTTGTTTTCACAGGTTATTTTGAATTTAATGAGTATCATTTATAAACTGTAACTACTGGTATTTAATGAGTTCTAATTTTTTTAATTCTTACATGTTTATTTGCTGAATAGTAACATGTTACAAAAATCTCAAAAGTGTGGCTCAGTGGTGGCAAACCTATGGCACTCATGCCACAGAGAACTCTTGGTTATCACTGAAAGCTCTAAAAGGTCTGCTCTCACTGGTATAGATAGATAAATATATAACGGCTTTTAGCCATTAGATATTCCCCCACTATTTGAGGACTTTGATGTCTAGCTGTCCTTCTTTATTTCTACTCAAACTTGAGGAGACTTGAGCATTCATGTGTCCTCTAATGCCTCAACCAGTTTTCTGATTTTCTGTAAACCAGTCTATTGCTTCTTCTCCAGTTCACGTACTTATATACATCACAGCCACACTAATCCTGCTCTTAACTTGATCTGTAAAATCTTAAGCTTCAGTGTCCAACTCTACCAGTAACTTTCCCTGTTCCCATCTCTTTGATTTTATTAGACCTAGTGGGCTTTTTCCCCTGTAGTTTCATACCCTTGAATTTCTCCTCTTCTCCCCACTGTTCCTATTTTTACTTTTCCTCTGCCCTGTCTTCAGATGATTCATCACATTAACCTTCTTTCAGCACCCTCAGCTTCTGTGTTTCTTTGACTTATCCTCTAAAAATCATAATTATTGGTGAATCTGATAATATACTGGAGAGAGATAACAAAGAACTTGATAGTACTACATATTTGTCCCAAATAAACTCAGCTCTTTCTTGATGCTCTTTGCTAGCCTGTCATATTTTTCTAGTTAATGTCTTCTTATCCCTTTTATTCAGTAGTTAAGCTAGACTTTGTAGTCCTCAAATTACTAATATCTCACATCTTACTTCCCAGTAAAAGATCTTGCCACCTGTCTGAGAACACAGAGGGCTTAATTAAAAATTTCTATTATCCACATTTTCCATCTTTTTTGCCTTTTCCTTGTCTCAAAGAAAGAGGTGCTTTACCTATTCCAAGTCATTTACTCCGTATCCTTAAGAATGTTGCTCAGTTTTCTTTTTTTATCTTTTCCTTAATTTTGGTAGAGGGATCACTTTTCTCCCATACATTTTTCTTTTTTTGCAGTTCCAGGGATTGAACTCAGCACCTTGCACTTGTGAGGTAGGCATGGCACCGCTGAGCTGAATCACCAGCCCACTTTTCCCCCTAAGAGAATCTAAATTTGAATAGAAATCCATGTCTTGTTCTTACATGGTATCTTTTTCTTTTCCTAGCCAGAAGCATTCCACCTTCAGTTGTTTGCCTCCTTGAAGTTGTTCACTTCTTAACATCCTATATTCTGGTTTCCCCTTTACCTCTCTTGATGTTATTTTTAGTAAGATAGCTAATGATTTTATCATTGCCTTTATCATTGCCTAGTAGGCTCAATTCAATCTGCAACCTTTAAAATGATTGATGTTTTTCCCTTACATTCTGTTTTTCCTTTGTTCTCTGTAGTTTCTCATTACCTGTTTGCCTTATTACATCTCTTCCTGTTCAAAACTTCCATAGCATAAAAATCATATTCCTATGAGTTCTGACTTGAGCCCTCTTTTCTTTCTGACAGTTTCACTAATACTCAGGCTATTAGTTCTTTGAAGACAGCACCCATTGTTTTTCATCTTTCCGAAATAATACCTAACACATATGAATCAAAAAATGTTGAATAAATAAATGAATTTAGATAACTTTCTTTAATTAACAATGAAAAATATCAGTTGTGATTCTACTTGTTAGGGATAACCCTAAATCTCCTGTTGCTTTGTAATACCTTGCTTCTATGTAGTGACTAGATTCTTTTTTTTTTGGTACTGGGGATCGAGCTTGGGACCTTGTGCTTGCAAGGCAGGCCGTGGGACCACTGAACTAAATCCCTGGCCGACTGTATTCTTTACTATTTTAATTATGTGAAAATCTACTATCTTTATATACTTAGGACCCTTTCAATAAAGTCCAGACATAAGAAGTTTCCAGAACCACCAAACAATGAAGATGAAGATGAAGATGTCAAAGCTGAAAGAATAAAAGTCAAAGAGCTGATGAGTTGCCAGTGTTGTGAGGAGGTAATTTATTCTTTTTTTTCATTAAATTTATTGGTCCATTTAAAGCAAACAATACAATTACCTTTATCATTGGGCTCTTGTACCTTTACATGATATATCTTGGTTCTTGTTTTTTCCCCATACCCTTACCCTCCCTTCACCCCGTTTGCCCTTACCTGTTTACAGAGACTTGGTTTCAATTTTTTCTTTTTCTTTAATTTCTTTTCTTTCCCTTTCCCACTTCCCCTTTAGCAATTTTCTTCCTATTTCACACTTTCAGTTATACCATTTCAACTTTATTTATACTTTTAGTTCTTCATATCAGAGAAACTATTCCATATTTACTTGTGTGTCCTATTACTTGATTTAAGAGTTTAGCCTCAATGTGCATTTGTTTAGCTATAAATGTTTCTAGTTTCTCATTCTTTATGGCTGAATAGTACTCCATTTTATAGGAAAAAACCACATCTTCTTTATCCAGTCTCCAGTTGATGAATATTTGGGTTGTTTCCAAGTTTTAGCTATTACAAACTGTGCTGCTATAAACGTGGGTGCACATATATCGCTGTGGTATGAGTCTTTTAATTGTTTTGAAAAGATACCCAGCAGAGGGATAGCTGGGTCAAATGGAACCTCTAATCTAGTTCTTTAAGGTATCTCCATACTGATTTCTACAGTGGTTGCACCAATCTGCATTCCCACCAACAATGGAGAAGGATTCTTTTCTCTCTACAACCCCGCCAGCTTTTGTTATTGGTTATTTTCTTTATAGCAGTCATTCTTTCTGGGGTAAGGTGGAATCTCAGTGTTGTTTTCATCTGCCTCTCTGGAATGACCAGTGATGTTGAATATTTTTTCATATATTTATTTGCTGCTTTTACTTCTTTGTCTAAGAAATGCCTGTTCATTGCAGACACCCATGTTTGAATCAGGTCTTTTTATTTGAAGAGTCTGAGTGTTTTGAGTCCTTTATATATCCTAGATAATAGTCCTTTGTCTGAGTTGTAGCTGTTAAAAATTTTTTCCCACATTGTAGATTGTCTCTTAGCTCTGTTGGTGATTTCTCTTGCACTGCAAAAACTTTTTAATACAGTTGTTGATTCTTTCTGCAAGATCTCATACTACTTAGGATTTATTCATAATGTTTCCTGTTCCATTGTCTTTGAGAGTTCTACCTAATTTACTTTCCAGTAAGTTTAGTGTTTCTGTTTTGATATTTAGATCTTTAATCCACTTGGATTTTAGTTTAGTGCATGGTGAAAGACAGGGATCTAGTTTTAATCTTTGGCAAGTTGAAATACAGTTTTCCAACACCATTTATTAAAGTGGCTATCTTTCCTGCAGTGAGAATGGTTGGCTCCTTTGTCAAGCATGAGGTAGCTGAGTATGTCTGGAGTTGTTCTTATATCTTGTAATCTGTTCCACTGATCTGCGGGTCTGTTTCTTTACAGTTTTTATGACAGGGGCTTTGTAGTATAGTTTCAAGTTGGGAATTGTCATACTCCCTGTCGTGTCTCTGTTGCCTAGAATAGTTTTTTCTATTCTAGGCCTCTTCTGGTTCCAAATGAATTTTTGGATTGTTTTCTCAAGTTCTGTGAAATATGCTGTTGGGATTTCAATTGGGATTGTGTTGAATCTGTGTAGCAGTTTTGGAAGTATGGCCATTTTCACTATGTTGATTCTTTCTACACAGGAGCAAGGGATGGCTTTCCATCTTCGTATATCCTTTTCTGTCTCTTTTTCAGAGTGCTATAGTTTCCAGTGTAGAGGTCTTTGTTTCCTTTGCTAGACTGATTCCTAGATATTTCATTTTTTAGATGTTGTAAGGAATTGTTTCTCTAATTTCTCTCTCAGTGGGTGTGTTTCTTGTGTACAAGAAAGCTATTGGTTTTTGAGTGTTGACTTTGTATCCAGTTACTCTACTGAATCTGTCAATTAAGTCTATCAGTCTTTTGACAGAGTTTTTTTAGGTCTTCTATGGAGAGTAGCATCTCATCAGCAAATAGTGACAGTTTTAACTTCTTCCTTTCCTATCTTTATTTCTTTTATTCCTTTCTCTTGTGTAATTGCTGTGGTTAATGTTTCTAGAACTATATTTAACAGGAGTGGTGATAGTGGACATCCTTGTCTTGTTCATGATTTTAACATGAAGGTTTTCAATTTTTGACCATTTAGAATGATATTCGCTGTTGGCTTTTTATAGATAGCTTTTACTGAGTTGAGATAAAGATCATCTTTTCCAGTTTTCTGTAGGATTTTTATCATGAATCGGTGTTAAATTTCGTCGGATGCTTTTTCTGCATCTATTGAGATGATCATGTGATTTTTATCTTTGACACTGTTGATATAGTATAGTACTTTTATTGATTTATGTATGTTGAACCATCCTTGCATCCCTGGGATAAATCCAACTTGGTCAGAGTGTATGATCTTCTTCATGATCTTCTGTATTCTGTTTGCCAGTATCTTATTGAGGATTTTTGCATTTATGTTCATTATGGAGATTGGCCTGTAGTTCTCTTTATTGGTTGGGTCTTTCCCTTGTTTTGGAATCAAAGTAATACTTGATTCCAGGAATGAATTTGGAACTGTTGCTTCCCTTTGAATTTCACTGAAGAGTTTAAAGAGTAGTGGTGATATTTCTTCTCTAAATGTCCTGTAGAATTCAGCAGTTGAAGCAACCATCAGGACCTGGCCTTTGTTTGTTGGTAATACTTTAACTACTTTTTTTTTTTTTTTTTTGGTATTTTGAGACAGGGTTTCACTATGTAGTAAAGACTGACCTGAAACTCACTATGTAGCACAGGTTGGTCTCAAACTCACGGTGGTCCTCCTGCCTCAGCCTCCTGCGTGCTGGGATTACAGGCAGGCGCCACCATGCCCAGCCTTTTAATTACATTTTCAGTTTCACTGAATGTAATTGGGGTATTTAGAATTTTTATATCCTTTTCATTCAACTTTAAAAGTTCATATGTGTCTAGGAATCTGTCCGTTTTTTCTCTATTTTACATTTTATTAGAGTACAGGTTTTCAAAGTAGGTATTCGTGATTCTCTAGATTTCTGCTGGATGTGTTTTCATTCCTAATTGCATGAATATGAGCCTTTCCTTTTTGATAAGGTTGGCTAAGTGTTTATGGATTTTATTTATTCTTTCAAAAAAACAACTCTTTGATTCATTGATTTTTCTATATAGTTCTCTTAGTTTCCATTGCATTAATTTCTGCTGTGATCTTTATAATTTCTTCCCTTATATGAGCTTTCATTTTGTCTTGCTCTTCTTTTCTGGGAAGCTTAAGGGGAAGCATTGTGTTGTTTATTTGAGCTCTCTGTTTTTATGGGCATTTACTGCAATGAATTTCCCTCAAAAAACTGCTTTCATTGCGTCCCATAGATTCCTGTATGTTGCATTGGCATTATCATTTAATTGTAGGAACTGTACAGTTTCTTCTTTAATTTCCTGTGTTATCCAGTGATTTTTCAGCAGGGTGTTATTTAATTTCCATGTATTTGTGAAATTCTTGCAGTTTCTTAGGCTCTTTATCTCCAGTTTAGTTGTACTGTGGTTTGATAATATACGGGGATAACTTCAGTTCCTTTGCATTTACATAAGCATGTTCTATGAGCTAGCCTGTGGTCTATTTTGGAGAATGACCCATGTGCAGCTAAAAAGAATGTATATTCTGATTTTGTGGGGTGGAACACTCTGTAGATATCTAAGTCCATTTGTTCTAAGACTTGGTTCAGTTCTTTTATTTCATTGCTGATATTTTTTCTAGATGATTTATCTATTTGTGTAAGTGGAGTATTGAGGTCCTCCACTATAGTTTTATGAGTGCTTATTTCATTTTCCATATTCATTAATATTTGTTTTGTATAGTTGGCATTTGTATTCAGTGCATATATATTTATGATTGTCATTTCTTCATCTTGTGTTGTTCCCTTTACAAAGATGTAGTGAGTGGCCTTCTTTGTCAGTCTTACTTAGTTTTGGTTTGAAATCTATCCTGTATGCAAATAAGATAGCTTTTTTCCAGGCTTCGGAGAACTGTTTCCAATCCTTTTACTTTCAGTCTATGAATTTCTTTGTGGATTAAGTGGGTTTTTCTGTATACAGCATATTGTAGAATTTTGCCTTTTAATCCATTCTGCCAGCGTGTTTCTTTGATATGTGAACTGAACTGAAGCCATTAACATTGATGGTTATAACTGTTATGTGTTAACTTTTCATTGTCATGTTTATTTCCTGTTGTTGGTTCTTTTATTTTTTATTTTTCTCCTTTTTCCCTTTAATTTCTTGCCTTGCCTTGTATATTTGCTCTGTTGGCCATTATGGAGTTGTGTTTTTTATTTTCTTTTTTATGATATTGTTTAGAAATGTTTGGAGTGCCAGTTTGGTGTTCATGAAATTTCTCAGGTGTTCTTTGTCATGGAAGTATCTTATTTTCCCATCAATTTTGAAAGATAGTTTTGCAGGATACATCAGTCTTGTTTGGAGGTTGTTTTCTCTTAGGATATCAAATACTTCAGTCCAGGCTCTCCGTGACTTGAGGTTTTGTGTTGAAAAGTCTGCTGTGATTCTGATGGGCTTTCCTTTGCATGTGATTTGTATTTTTTTCTCTAACTGCTTGTAGTATTTTGTTCTTCTGTTGGGTTTTGGGGATCTTGATTATTATATGTCTGGGTATACATTTTTTTTATCATGACTAGTTGGAGTCCTATATGCCTCACATATCTGTATGTCAAATTCTTCCCCTCTGAGAAGTTTTCTGTCATTAATTCTGTGAACGGTTTTTTATTGTCATTTGAACTTTCTCCTGCTACTTCATAGATTCCTATCAGTCTTACATTATTCTTCTTTACATCATCTAAGAGTTGCTGGATTGATTTCTCATGTTGCCTTACTGTTTTTAAGAGATCTCTCTTTTCATGGTCACTGACCACAATCCTATCTTCTGTATCTGAAATTCTATCTTCACATTCATTCATTCTACTTCAAATGCTTTCTGTAGAGTTTTTAATCTCCTGGATATCTGTTTGAATCTGTTTCATGGATTCCATTTCTTTCCTGTGTTGTGTTTTCATGGTTTCCATTTCTTTCCTATGCTGGGCATTCCATGGTCTCTCTCCACCGTGGTCTGAGCTCATCTGTTTTTTTTTTTTCTTTTAATCTGTTGCTGTTGTAGAGTCTCTAATCATGTCTTTCATTCTTCTCACCATCTCTGTAGTTGTCTGGGAAATTATTTCTGTTTTGAATTTTTCTAGAACCTAATTTATCTTTTTTTTTTTTTTTTTTTTCTTTTCTTTCTGTGCTAGTTCAGACTGTTCAGATAGTTGACTGTCAGACTTTTCCACCTCATTTCTCCCAGAGTTTACCTTAGGTGAGGAGGAAGTCTGTGTTTGTGTCTTGTTTTAAATGTCTTCTCACTTCTATTTTTGTCATTGGTACTGTCCTTGGTTTAATTCCTGGGTTAATACTTCAATCTTCAGATATAGCTGGTCTTTAGGTTTTGAGTCTCTCATGTCTCTGAGGCAGTCTAATTTTTCATTATGCCAGGGAGGACAACTGATTAGATCAATCACAACACCTTAGCTCACATGATACAATCAGCAACATAATAGCATCAAACACAGCTTAGAAAATGACAATTTGTGGTAATTATTAATCTGTCTTCTTTAACTGTGTTATTTAAATCAAAATCGAAGACCAGTCCAAAATATGTTTATAGTGAATAAACTGTTCAATATAGCAACTTTACCCTTCAGGATGGGAATTTAGAAGCAGTTGGGGAGGGATGGATACATAGGCTAGAGAAAGGTTAGAAGTGAGGTCAGAGGACACAGGAAAATCACACAGACTGTAGGGAGCTCTTGAAGAGAATAGAAGAAGACAGAACAAAATACACAGGGTATGCCTCTGTTGATAATAGACAGCATGGGCAGGAGTGTGTAGGTAAGTCTCAGCAACTGTACCACAAGGTTCAGGCTGATTTTTGGCTGCAAGGCCCAAGTTGAGATCTCTGACCTCCTGCTGCATTTAACTCTGCAAGATTGTACTTCAGGTTGCAGCTGTCTTTTCCCTGAAGTTAGACCAGATTCCGATGTGAGATGCTGGTCCCTCTGACTTACTATGGTGGTGTGGTGTGTCTTTGTCACAGATTTTCTTCACTTTTCCAGTGGCCTTCAATTTTTATCTAGGAGCCTCAGAGAGGCCTTCTTTCCTTGTTCGTGGTGGCAGGGGGATGAACACTACTATATTGGTGCCCAAGCAGCTGGGCTCCTCTGCCAAGCTGGGTCAAAGGGACAGGCCTACCAGAGGGTTGAAAGCTGCAGCTGGGCTCTCTGGTGCAAAGGGAATTTATTCTTTATGTATAAGTCATATTAAATGTGAAATGGTAAGTTCCCAATGTTTAATAATTTATGTGAAAAATATTTTTTTTTGCATCTGAATCTGTCTGAAAAAATCTTTCATTAGAAAAATAGTTTTGTCAGCTTATTTTTAAATAAGCCATGATTTCAGCCATAAGTGGAAGTTTATTTGTGTACTACCCTCTTAGCAAATACAATGTAGACATTAGGTATGTTCAGCCTATTGTGAAATGACATGTGTTTTTTTACAACTCTTTTTAATTCCATTGCTCTTATTAGAAACCAGCCATTATGGTGAGCAATTTGCATAAAGAGTATGATGACAAGAAAGATTTTCTTCATTCAAGAAAAGTAAAGAAAGTGGCAACTAAACACATCTCTTTCTGTGTGAAAAAAGGTTTCTGTTTTTTTTCTTAAATAAATTTTACAGAAGAGTAATTTCCATTTTTAGTTTGACTTGAATATGATGATCTTTTTCTTTCACTTTCTTTAGGAGAGATCTTGGGACTTTTGGGTCCAAATGGTGCAGGCAAAAGCACTATTATTAATATTCTGGTTGGTGATATTGAGCCAACTTCAGGCCAGGTATGATATATCAGGGGGAAATATGTTGAATATCATTTATATTTTTAATTAAGATAATTTAATGGCGAATTCATATTTTGATGCTTAAACTTTGGTTTTTAGAATTTTTAGTATTGCCTAATGAAATTTTTTCTGATTATCTCTGAAAATAATATACATACTGAATTCATAGACATATAAGACATTCCTTGTTTAACAACCAAATCCAGTCCTGAAACTAGGTAATTAAATGAATCAGTCACTAACTGAGGAAGTCTATATAGTATGTACATTACAATATTCAGAACAAAGGAAACTCCAACTAGTGTACTGTACAAAGAAAGACTTTGAAGATCTATAAACAAGGTATACAGAACTGACAATTTTTAAAAATGGGTCGTAAGTCCAAAATTCATTTAACAGGTAGATTGTTAAAGGGGGAAATTCTATCTATACAGTATTTATGCCATGATGAATATTACATGCCTGGGTGACTTACTCACCTACTTAATGGAAGCTCGTTGTATTAAGTTCAGGAGTTAAAAGAGCAAGTCATGCCCCTCTCATCAGTCAGTTTTCGGTGATGAGCATGTCACTAATACTCGGTGGAAGCTGTACAAAATTATCCTAATCCTGTTTCCTGTTTCTCTTCGTCTAGCTTGCTTCACACAAGCTATATTGATTTACTGTTCTCCTGGGAAAAACCTGGCATCAACTTTTCTTTGGGTTTTTGTTTGAGCTGTTGGCTGTGTAGCTATATCTATTTCCTAGAAATTTAGTTGACTAAATTCTCTGAAAGTTTTGGCCCACACCTTCTACCGAGGCCCCTAATTTTTCTAGTTAAAATAGTGGCTTGTTTTACTACCTAATTGTGCATTATAATCCCCCTTTCCAGCTGTGTCACCAACCTCCAGCTTAAATGTGTCCTTCTAGCAACAAAAAGTAATAAAAATTGACCTGATAACACTTTTACTATACACAAGGTTTTGAATTAATCTACTTCCTACTTTCTTCATAAAATAAATTAAGTGAAAATACTAAAAGTTGGTTTGTGTTTCTGTAGGTATTTCTAGGAGAGTACATGTCAGATGCAACTGAACAGGATGACTCTGTGAAGTGTATGGGCTACTGTCCTCAGATAAACCCACTGTGGCCAGATATTACATTGCAAGAACATTTTGAAATTTATGGAGCTGTGAAAGGAATGAGTGCAAGTGACACGAAAGAAGTAATGAGTCGGTAAAACAACAGTCTTTAGGGCTCATATTACTTGGGGAAAGGGTTACATTTCACATTTTTACAGTTTTGTAATGTGTTGTTATGGATCATTTTTATAAAAATGATATTTCCAAGTATTCTCAATGTCATGATATGACATTGTTTTTTCTAGAACAATCGTGCTGTTTTTACTAACTGGTCTAGAAAAGGTGCCATTAATCAACACAATTTATATTTATATTTATACATATCATGGTGCCCTCATTTGTATTGTTAATTTTTCAGAATAATAAATGCACTTGACTTAAAAGAACATCTTCAGAAAACTATAAAGAAACTACCTGCCAGCGTCAAGCGAAAGGTACTTTTGTTAAGCAATGCATATATCTATTTTATTGATAGGTTAGTACTGTTGATAGATTCCTTCTAGTGAAGGATCAGTAGTACACCTACCCTCTTTTTCGTTCTCTCTAGTTATGTTTTGCTCTAAGTATGCTGGGGAATCCTCAGATTACTTTGCTAGATGAACCGTCTACAGGTATGGATCCCAAAGCCAAACGGCACCTGTGGTGAGTATGACACTAACGACAGCTGAGACAACTACATTGTGTCATATTTTAGAATAATGAAAAGTAATTTTTCATTATAACTAATAGTGTTACATTAGTGATATGTACATCTTGATTTAAAATCCCATATAAATGCTAAAATAGTATTAAAATTAAACATTTAGGTTCTAGAGATTTTTTACCCTTTTTAAAGTTTATCATATTTTCATAATATTTTACATATAGAACAGATGCAGTTTATAAATGTTCTGTTGTCTGAATAGTTTTCTCTCTTTTTCCCAGTATTGGGGATTAAACGTAGGGCCTTGCACATGGTAGGCAAGGATTTTCCCCCTGAGTTACATCCCCAACCCTTTTTAAAATTGTTTATTTTGAAACATGGCTCAAGCTGGCCTAAGACTTTCAATTCACCTGCCTCACATTCCCAAGTAGATGGGATTATAGGCATATACTTCTGTGCCCTGCTGTCTGACTTTTTCAGGCTTTTCTCATAGACATTTAACATATAAGTTCATTAGTAATATTATCTTAAATTTATGTTGCAGCTCTTTCTGATAATTTAAAGTATTAATTAGTTTGAATAATTATGTGAGCCTTGATTTCCATATCTGTAGAATATAGGTTTAGTTCAGATTCGTGTGTAGGTTTCCTTAAGATTCTGTGGTATTTTTCTTTTAATAGCAAAAGGCATCAGTTTTTATAATTCATTTGTTGTTATGTATTTAACACATATAAACATATAAACAAGTCATGAGATTTATTTCTACTTAACACACTTTCAAAAATGAGAGAAAATAAATAGTATAGAAAAATCGTACTTGGGAATGTTATAATAGCTGCAGACACTGAATATTTGGTAAGTTTTAATCAACCAAAGTGACCAAATTGTTGTATTTTTAAATAAACATTTTCATTAACAAGTATATTGCTTTTTTAAGTGATATGTATGTTTTATAGGCGAGCAATTCGAACTGCATTTAAAAACAAAAAGAGGGCGGCTATTCTGACCACACATTACATGGAGGAGGCAGAGGCTGTTTGTGACCGAGTGGCGATTATGGTAGCAGGCCAGTTAAGGTAGACATCTCAGCAGCATGCTTATTTGGGAAGAGGAGTGGGTAGATTTTGAATGTTCTCCTTTCAAAAACATATGGTTATATGTCTTAATTTAAATGTTAAAAAAATTTCCTTGAAGTTAGAATCAGTGTTCTTTTTTTTTTGGTTTTTTGAGACAGGTGTCACTATGTAGTTGAGACTGACCTGGAACTCACTATGTAGCCCAGGCTGGTCTCGAACTCAGAGCAATCCTCCTGCCTCAGCCTCCTGAGTGCTGGGATTACAAGTGTACGCCACCACGCCCAGTTAGAATCAGTTTTCTGTTAGATTATTTGGAAATATGTTAAATTTTTCCCCAAAATATGGCTGTCTATTTGCATTTGGAATGGGCTTAATTGTTTAATAACTTACAATGTTAGTTTCAGGCAATAATATTTGTTATTTAAAAAAAAATCATTAACCTTTGTATTAGATTATAATGCAAAATATAGAATAAATACCTGAGTTCATAATACTTGTATAAATGATTGGATACATAAATAAATGTGGGAGGAGAAGCAAAAATCTTCCTTCCAGAAGGATTCCAAATCATATATGTAGATAAACCCGTCACTCCCATCTAATCCTGACCAAAACATTAAACATACCAGATTGTAGGACGTGAAAACATCAGACCGGTACAGTGGTCATGAGGAAAGAATAAGAAATGCTCTCTGAACATTAAGACTCTGAGGAGACATGACAACTAAACAGTGTGGCACTGAAACAGTCCTGCAACAAAAACAGGGTCCTGTGTGTTAAACTAGTGAACCCAGATAAAGTCTGGAGTTTTATTTATACTAATGTAATTAATGTCGGTTTCATGATTTTTGAAAATGTACCATGGAATAGAAGATGAAAATATGAGAGGCCAAATGTGGTGGTGTAGGCCTATAATCCCGGCATCCGGGAGGCTTAGACAGGAGGATCCCTGTGAGTTTGAGGGAATCCTGAACTGTATAGCAAGACCCCCACCCCCTGCCAAAAATGTTAGGCTGAAATTGGAGGATAAGAAGTATATGATGAAAATATTATCTCGTGGTAAGTTTTCTGTAAGCGTAAAAATATCACCCTAAAATGGCAAAAATTTAAGTGGTAATTTGTTCTTTGAAACTGTCAAGCCACTTTATATCTCCTTTTTGTTCGAAAAATTACTTTAGATGTATTGGGACAGTACAACATCTAAAGAGTAAATTTGGAAGAGGCTACTTTTTGGAAATTAAGTTAAAGGACTGGATAGAAAACCTAGAGATAGACCACCTTCAAAGAGAAATTGAATATATATTTCCAAATGCAAGCCGTCAAGAAAGGTAAGAAATTTGAAATGTAATTACATTTTTTATAGAATAATAATCATAAAAGATTATGTTAAAGACTAGGAAAAACATTCCTTTTAGTCCATGTTATATATATACTTCTACTATAACTAATTAAGTGTTAATATCTGTATTATCCCCAATACTGAATTAGTGAAATTTAATATTGTATCTTTTAATATTTCATAGTATGTATGTATGTATTTATTTTTGCAATACTGGAGAGTGAACCCAGGAACTAATAATGCATGCTAGGCAAGCTCTCTGCCCCTGAGCTGTTTTCCCAGCTCTTGTGTTTAAACTTTTTATGGTTCTTATTCAGTAGTAATAATAGTTATTTTATTGTTCATGGAATTATTTTATCATTTCAAACAGTTTTATTAGAATATTTTGCTTTTATAAAAATAGTTTAATTTTGAATTTAAAATATTTTAAACTGTAGCCTTACAACCCAATAGTAGCAATTTTTGAATTTTCCTGAATTTATCTTGTTTTCAGTTTTTCCTCTATTTTGGCTTATAAAATTCCTAAGGAAGATGTTCAATCTCTTTCACAAGCTTTTTCTAAGCTGGAAGAAGGTGAGTAGTATTGAAAAACATTGTAAGTTAGCTCTCAATAATTTTTTTTTTAAAGTTTAGAACTGAGGAGTCATTTTATTGTGGAAACTCTGGCAAATAAGTAGATGCTCTTAAAATACAGATAAATAAGAATGCCAGGGATTTTGTAGAAAACTGTGTGGTGGTATAAACCTTTTAAAATTTAGTGGGCATTGCCATGGCTTTCACATTGCAGGTCTAGAAATGATTAGCTTTCTCTAAGCAGTTTAGTCCAGCAGTCAGAAGAATGTGTTCCTTGAACCCTTTCTTCCTGCTGGACCGTAGAAGCAGCAATGGTATCAGGACTCTAGTGATAGAAGGGCAGAATTCACTGTGCAGGTTGACACTCCTCAGTTTTAAAGAAGCTGATTGAATTTCAAAAAGTAAAAAGTAAGTGATGGGTAGGATAATTATATGCTAGTGGCACTAGCAAGAAATAAATTCTTGGCTTGGGTAAGTGTTCACGTAGAATTATTTTAGGATGTTTTAAAACTGAATAAGATCATTAATACTTTTCAAAATGAATATAGATTTGTTGTGATTATTTTTATATGAATGCTGCATATGAAAAGATTTTCCTATACACCTGGAGCTCCATAACAGATATGAATTAATGTTTTTTTAGCCTAGGAGCACTAATTATTTTTATGTATAATATCTTTTGTATTTTACATATCATTACTATTCGATGTAATCATTGTCATATAGTAAGATAAAGTTTTTTGCTTTCCTGGTGATTTCTTTATGATTAAAAAATACCCGCTACTCAGAATTAAAGAAATCAATATAATAACAGACATTTGGTAAAATTAGATTGCAAAGGATCTGAAATATAGAAAATCTTACGGAGCTAAGATTGGTATTCAAATTGTAGTTTAAGAGGCAAGAGCAGGCTTTAGTGGAGTTGAGGAATGAGAGATACAGAGCAGGGATCAAAAGGGAACATGGAAGAAAAAAACGAATAACGAGGAAGAAGATAAAGGAGGGAAGGAGAAGGTAACTTAGAGAAAGTGAATGAAAAAGTAGCAATAGATATAAAGTACATAGGGCTAGAGAGGAATTATGGGCAAGGGGAAGAGAAAGGAAGTAAAACAGGAAAATAAGATGTTTTGGGGCTTCACGTTTCAGTGAGTTGTTTACCAGGGTCTTTCAAACAGATATTGTAAGCTAACTTAGTAGTTATTACCCTTTTAATCTTTTAAAATACTGATAACTAAAGTAATTCTCATATTTTAATAGCTAAACATACTTTTGCAATTGAAGAATATAGCTTTTCTCAAGCAACATTGGAACAGGTAATATAAAGTTAAATTTTCAAAAATTACTTTATAGTGGAAAGTAATAACAATTGTTTGGGCTTATATTGGGGAGAAATTATGATATTATTGTAGAATAATTACAAAATAATCTTGTGTTTAAGACAGGATCCTGCTGTGTAGATCAGGCTGGGCTTGAACTAAATGTAATGACTGTGTAGCCCATACTGGCCTTGAACTCACCATGATCCTTCTGCCTCAGCTTCTCAAAGGCTGGGATTATAGGCGTATGCCATTCCCCCCAGCTGCTATTACAGAATAATCTTAAACTTTGTGTAATTTTAAACAAATTTAAATTCTCCATCTGCTTTGTTTTTTGCAACTTTTTAATTTAAAAGAGTGGTTTTCCTTGAAATCATTTTGGGTGTATGTAGTATGGAATAATTAAACTAATTTCAAATTGCTTATTTTGCATAGCTCAGTTTTTTAGTTTGGTAAAGAAACTGAGTCATGATGGTGGCATTTCATATTAAGATATCTGAAATTGTTTAAATATTTATAAATTTTTTTTATGACAGTGCTACTTTATGTTAGCAAATTTATTAATCTTCTAAAGACGTAATCATTTTTGCATGTAGTTAATGGAGATAACTTATTTTGTTTGAATAGTATTAATGTAATAAATTTTGGTACTTGTTTATATAATTAGATATGGCCTTATACCATTTTCTGATTTAGTAAAAAGTTCTCTGAGATATAGAATACTTCATTAAATTATTTTCTTTTGTGTAGGTTTTTGTAGAACTCACCAAAGAACAAGAGGAAGAAGATAATAGCTGTGGAACTTTAAATAGCACACTGTGGTGGGAAAGAACACGGGAAGACAGAGTAGTATTTTGAATTTTTATTGTTCAGTCTGCCTACTGAATTTTTTCTCCACTTTAATTTTGGTTTTAAAACTTTATTCTTTGATAGTAACTGGGGAAACATGAGCACATAGGATTTTCCCAAGTTCCTTAATATAAATACTGTTGTGGCAGTTTTACTTTTCTTTAAATAAACTCACGTATAGATTGTCAACATGCATGAATGTAAAGTATATTGACCTATAGTATGTCATACTTTTCACCATTCAAAAATAGTGCTTCTGAATTTATGATCTGAAGTAGTTATAGAGTAATTTTGATTTGAATAGCTATCTTTATTTTTGTTTGTATCATCTTGTTAAATAATTATGTAATGTCCCAATCTAAATAAAAAGACTAATACATAACTAATTCATAGAAAATAGACATAAAGCATTATTAAATTTTTTTGCTTTTCCTTTTCAATTTCTAAAAGAAACTTTAATGAAAATTGTCATCCTTGAATGCTAAAACATAGACTTTAGAGTCTCAATGTAGAGTTTGAGTGAAGAGCCATCCACCAGGTGGCAGTCCTCAATCAATAAATGAAGTGAGACCTTGTTCCAGGAAATGACAGCACATGTAATTGGTTAGGCATTTAAAGTTACTTTTCTTTTGCTTACAGTAAAATCCAGAAGTGTTTCAGTTATATAATTTAAGGAAGACTGTGGTCTTATCTTGTAGTAGTCTGATTCTTTGACTCTGTGGCCAGAATGACTTGTCTGTAGAGTGGAAGAATTAATCCATGTCTTCTCTCAACTCCTCCTAGAAGATATAATTACTTTTTGTTGCCTTGCAAGAAAAGGTCATATTTAATTTTATCATTGGCTAAGATAATTTGTTGAGTAATTGTTTGTTATTGTCAAATTTTATTATTTATATCTTTTATGAGATCAGAAAATAAATAAATCTACTAAGTAAAACTACAGTTATTTAGTGACTTACCTCATAATCATTTGGTACATGATGGAATATAAATAAATTCTTTCAGGATTTAAATTAAGGATAAAAATGGAGCATACATAATTCTCCTTAGTAAGAACCAGAATTTCACTCTGTGACAAGAGTTGAGGTTAAGGTATGAGCAATGTAATTTTAGTATACTTATATAACCCTTTTGTGGACTATAGATAAGAAATAGAGTGATCTATATGAACCTGTATTTGAGCAAGATGTATGGAATTATTAGCTTTGCAAAATAAATATATATTAAGAGTACGGTTACTGTATTATAGAAAATTAAAGAACAACAAGAAAATGAGTTATTTAAATAGCTAAACTTTTCAGAAATTATTAATTCTTTAATGTAGGTAAGATTCAGTAAACTTTTAGCCCTATCATGTAGTAACACATCTGTGATTTTAGGCTGCAGCCGCTGTTTTAAAATAGGATTTTCATCTCAGTTGAAGGGACATGACTGATAACTTTCCTCCATTGCTTTGGCAGTTGCTGTATACATTCCTAAGGATACCTACTTGACCAGCCATCTCAGAGGTCCTCTAATCTAAATGTGCCATTTTACAAATCTGCTTAGATTTTACAACCCAGAGCTAAGTTCTCCGTGTTAGATGGATTTAGCAGTGGTGCACTCTTACATCTAGCTAGTTCACTACTGCATGACAAGTACAGTCAAGGCATATTTGACTTGAGAGAAAATCTTTACCTTTGTAGATTAATAAATAGCACACTGTGCTTTTTAAGCAAGTCTTTGCTAAATGGTGCCCCAAATTTAAAGAGATGTCTTCTTTTTTATTTGATACTCATATAATATACAAGTACCCAGGGGCCTTTGTTTTGGAATGTGATTTTGTAACTATGAGTATGTTTGAACTCTTACACTCAATATAAGCAACAAAACTATAATTTATAGTTTACTAGGGCAGTCAATAAAAAGGTAGTTTTTTTAAAGAATTTGACCATTTTAAGAAAGATGTGTTACTTTAAAACAGACCACAACTCATAGAAAGTTATGTTTTTCTGTATAGATTTGGTTACTTTCATTTTTACATTTGAGGTTGAGATTATACTGACCAATCATATTCTTATCCCTTTATTTAGTTATTTTCCTGTTATTATAAATGAATGCATGCTCTTATAACTATTTGTTAGAGATACTTGATTTTTTTTTTGGTTTTTGCACATTCAGAGTGAATTTATTTTGGTCACAAATTATTTGTCAAAATATTTTGTTCATATTTTCATAGTAACAAAATCTTTGACTCAAGAAATATAATTTAATTATTAGGAAAGCAAGGATAATCAAACTGGAAAGAAAAGGAGACAGAAAAATCAAGTAAAACATTTACCATTATTAGTATATAGTTTGTGTTTTTCATATGTATTTTAAGTTGTCTTTAGTTACTGATCTCAGAACTTTTTTCCATGTTAAAACATGTAAATAAAAATAAATATGTTTGGCCAAAGATGGATAAAACAGCATCATCCATCTACCTTATGATCAAATTTTAAAACTCGAACAAGGCTTTATTGAATGAGTGTGGTCACTGAAAAATAAGGCAAAATTCTGTCTGTAGCAATGAAGAAACAAATCAGTTCTCACAGTAGAAATATGAATGTACCGTGCATTACATTTTGCCAGCTCTTTATTTTTTTTTTCAGTTTTCAGTAAAATGCTTTGGGTTTTCTTTAAAAGCATTTTTTCTTTTAAATCAAAAAATATCTTAAGTCAGTCTTTTGATTTCCATAATTAAAATATTTTTGTAATAATTTAATTCAGCAGACATTTAAACTACTCTTACCAGCTACAAGTTCTTTGTATAGAAAGGTGACTATCACTTTTGGCCCCCTAAGATTTTGTAACGTAGAAGAAGGAAAATAGGTATTTATATAACTAGCTGTAGTGACAAAAGCTTTACTGGTAGAAATGGCAGTGTTCTATAGGAACACAATTATAGTTTGGGTAAATGCTGTCATTTTTTTTATTGCTATCACATTATTCTTTCAACATTTCATTCTGATGTGCTTTGAATTTGTTAAAATACTACCCTGTATTTTCATGTAACATGTTCAAATAGGCATTAATTTTTGGAAAACAGAAATGTTATTCTTAATGTATTTTTATATTGCTAACATTGATTTTTCATTTCCTTTCTTGAAAAAGCATATTACATAAAATGAAAGAATTTATTCTCAGGTTATTTTTGTATCAGCTATTCTTATAAGGTAAAAATTTACTTATTTTTTATTCATAATGTGTTATGTGTAAGTAATTCTCAATGCTGCCCTTAGAAAAATGAATGTGCATATATTATCAAAAATAAGCTTTAAGAGCTGAAAATTTGACAAATGATTTTGTATACTGAAATGGAATCTTTGTTATTTAGTGTTGATAATTGAATGAGTGGCTCATATTAAAATTGAAGCAAAAACCTGGCATTAAAATTGCTAGTATTTTTTTAAGTATCTGAGGGGAAATTTCCAGTACAGAAGGAACATTGGCAGTAATTTTGTTTCAGTTATCATTCAAATTTTAAACCTGAACTAGGTATGTTTATAGATCTTTTAATCTTATGTGCTTTGTAGAAATAGAAAGCAGTCACTAACATTTTATTACATTTAGCAGACTAAATAATCACCAGTGTTTCATATTACATGCATAGTTTACATGTTCCCTTAGATATTTTTTGTCGTTGTTGTTGTTACCGGGGATCAAACTCAGGACCTTGTGCTTACAAGGCAGGTGCAGTGCCACTGATCTAAATCCTTGACCCCCCAGAATTTTTAAATGAAATTGAGCCAGGTGTAGTGGTTCATGCTTCTAATCCCAACTCTTGGGAAGCTGAAGAAGAGGATTATTAGGAGTTTAAGGCCATCCTGAACTACCAGGCAAGACTCATAAAAACCAAAAAGGAAAACAAGTTGATTCTTTTAAACACATAGGAAATACTTTAATTCTTTCTTTCATGTTACTTGGGATTGAATGTAGAACTTTGCACTGAGCTATATCCCTACCCTCTTTTTATTTTGAGAGAGGGGCTCACTTTTTATTTTAAATTGGGCAGGCAGGACTTGAACTTGCCGTCTTCCTGGCTCATCCTCCTTAGGAGCTGGGATCACACACCCCTGTACCTGACAGTACTTTAAATTTAATGAACAGATTTTTCCAAGCACCTGAACAACTCTTGGAAATCAGGGTCTTTGCCAGAGTAAGGAAGCCTGACGATTGAGACTCACTGGACCAATGAATTAGTTGTTAAGGAACTGAAAAGACAAATTGTAAAATTCACTGGACCAGGTGATTATCTCTGGGAATTCCTTGTGGAGAATAAAAAGACAACTTTGAAACAAGAACCATCCCTTGGAAGTTTGGTAATGTAGAAAAAGAAGCACACAATTAAAAAGTTTTCCAAAAACAGTATCACAGAGTCAGAAGACCACCAAAATCTTGCCATGTGATACTTTACTAATTTCTCTGCACCAGCAGAAGAGTGCTGATGTTTAGAAGCTTGAGTCATTCCAAATCCTTTGCTTATACTCCAGGTCCACAGAATAGCTCATTGTTGCTGGCTGTCATGGATACTGTGATGAACCATCTGCGTTCCTTTTTAGGAACAAAGAATTGTTTTTTCTCCAACTGTGAGAGTATTACCAGAAGGCGATCATTATCTGTCTGCTCCCTTGGGCAGTCTTCAGAAACCAATATAAACCCCTTTCAGAATCTGCTCCTGTTTACCTTCCTTTTGGCTATTAGGTCAAAGACAAGGGATAGATCATAAAACAACTTGGCCAAAGCCATGTTGTTCTTCCTGAGATAAGAAAGGAGCTTTACTCATAACAACTTCAGGTCTACCTTTATCTGTGCACAGGAGCTAGGATAATGTGCTTGGAACTGGACTCAGAGTGATCAAGTGATGCACAACATGTATTCTAGGAGGCTGAGGCAGGAGAATCATAAGTTTAAGCTCATCCTGGGTAAATTACTTATGAGACCCTGTCTTTAAAAAATTTTAAAAGGTCAGCGCAAAGGTCTTTGGTTCAATCCCCGTAACCCCCCTCCAACAAAAAAATAGTGCAGAATTGGACAAGTGTTTATATATTTGAAAGCAGTCTCTTCTGACATGGAGAAATTTTAACACCATAGCAAGAAACCAAGAGCTGGTATAAAAATCCTGCATGGACAATGCAGTGGCCCTTGCGGTGTCACATATGAATGTTGAAAAGCTGCAGGATGTGATGGCAAAAAAGATGAAAAACTTGGAAAATTGGGCATGGCTGAATGCGTGTGCTACATGAAGCCAGTTAACAATAGATAATGAAAATTAAAGTAACAAGGATGCCCTAGTGAGAGAAAACCATCACTAAATTGGTGGTGGCCCTATGAGCTGATCCTGTTACATCATGAGCAGTGTCATTATAGTATTTGGTTGTCACAACAATGGGAATGATAAAATCCCCATTAATTGAGCATGGTGGGCAGCATTTAAACATCAGAAATGACACACACAATTATTGTAGTTTACAATGAGGAGTCACTGGGTGCATAATAACTCTGCCCAAAGCCCTGCATGGAGAGACTCAACTTAGTAACCATGGTTTCTAATAGAAAAACCACACGTCTTTGAGGATCATCTCTGCTTGCATTAAAAGCTTGTCTGAGAAAACTCAGTGCTTCCAGGAAAGTGTCTCTATTGAAATTCAAGTTTCTCTCAAGGCCCTGAGAGCCATTCTTTCTTTTCCCTCTTTTTTTTTTTTATTAGTGATATAGAGTAATGAGATTTATTTTGGTATATTGGCACTGAATGTAACATTTTGATGATTTTTATCCTCTGCCACCTCCCTAATCCTTTTTTCCCTCCCTTTCAGATCTCTTTCCTTGCCTCTAAAAGTCTACCTTCTAGTTTCCTGTCCTCTCCCTTATATATTATTTCTTTTTACATTTTTTGCACAAGAGAAAACATGCAGTATTTAACTTTTTTGTGAGCCTGGTTTATTTTATGTAACATGATAGTCTCCAGTCCCATTTATTTTCTCGTAAATGACATTTTTTTCTTCATGAGTAATATTCCATTTTGTATATACCCCACATTTTTTTATCCATTAATCTGTTGAAGGACATCTAGGCTGTTCTATCGTTTAGTGATTGTAAATTGTGCCACAAGAAACATAGCTATGGTATCTATCTTTAATTTTTTAGGGACTATACTGAGAGCGGTATTCATTCATTCATTTTAAGTATTATCAAGAAGGTAAGGCCTCTATCTCCCAGGGTCTGGGAGGATAGAATCCTAAGATATTTTCTAGCTGCCTTAATCACATTTATATTAATCAACTCTGTATATTTTCATATCTCTATCTTAGACTGTTCACAGTAAATGCACTAGTCCTATTGGATGTTCCTGTCTCTATCCTCAAAATTTGTGATTGTAATAGATGTACATAAGGGTTGGCACAGTTCTCATACTGTTTCCTTGGACTGTGGGGTATGAATTACAGTGGATGTATTAATTTTCTAAGGCTGATGTATCAGCACTGTAAATTGAGTGACTTAATACCACAGAAATTTATTCTCTTAAGTTCTGGGGGCCAGAAGTTCAAAGTCCAGATTGTTTCCTTTCTGGGGAGTAGATAGAGAATAAGTTTCTTGTTTCTTTTTTAGTTTCTGGTAGTTGCTAGAAATCCTTGATATTCCCTGGCTTGCACCTGCCTGACTCCAGTCTCATTGGCTGTGTTCCTATAAGTCTGTCTTGGTGCCTCTTCTTCTAAGGTTGACAGTCATTTTGAATTTAGGGTATGTCCTACTTTAATAAGACAGTCTTATTAAGGCAATATTAAGGCAATATTTCCAAATCAGGTCCACATTCTGGGGTTTCAGTTAGGACACAGGGCCTTTTATGTTCTGGACAAATACTCTACCACTGACCTGTGCCCTCAGTCCCTTGACCTGGATTTGGGGTCACACTATTCAACCCTGTGCAGAGGGAAAGTTGTTCCTCCCAACAAAGATAGGAAAGAATGGGGAAGAATGGAAAAAATAACATCACCCTTAAAAACCTAACGGTATCAAGTAAGAGTTGGTCTTTATCATATTTCCGTTTTAATATACTAATCGTGCCCCTGCAAAAATCAGTTTTGGGAGGACAACAATCTATAGCAGTCTAAACCAACTAGTAGCTCTAGTTGAATACCTTCATCCGATGGGCTGTCTGTAAGATTGCTTTAAGACCAGCTTCTGTCATGCAGAACTCAGTCACTGACTGAGCAAACAAATTTTTGTTCCAGGAGAAGCAGAAACACTTGAGCTGGATATATTGGTGCACACCGTAATCCCAACATTGAGTGCCCGAGGCAAGAGGATCAAAGTTTGAGCTCAGCCCAAGCAAAGCAACCTAGTAAGTAAGATGTTGTGTCACAATAAAAAAGAAAGACCTGGGGATACTGCTCAGTCTGAAAACACCGAGTTCAATCCCTAGTACAGCATCCAAAATCCACTGTTTGGTATTAATTTTGGAAGGAGCAAAAGTATACATTTTATTCTTGCCCTCAGATTAGATTTGCATTTTTCCTACCCTTTTTCATTATATTCCAGTAAACCTGGATCAGCTTGGTAGTTCAGAGAACATGAAAGTGGTCCACTCTGTTGAAGTCATGGATGCCCTGCTGATGCAGTGGCTGGTACATTAGAGGCCTTGGTTAAAACATTGTACTGCAAAGGAAATGTACGCAGAATCTAACATAAATACTATCTGCTGGAGAATAAAAGCCTTTTACTATCTCTCCTTTGTTGTGCAACGTATACTAGATTTCCTCTTAAAAAATCTTTTCCACCAAAATGATGTATGATTTCTTAATACCAGGTATCATAATGTCAGCACTATTTTGGACGTGATACCTTTTGTTGTGGGCGACTGTCTTATATAGTGTAGAATATTTGTAGAATTCATAGCCGTCTCCCGCTAGATGACAGTATCACCCTCTCCCCAAATGACAAAAGTTTTTTTGCCAAGTATCTCATGTGTAGGGGGATGCAAAATTGCCTCCATTTGAAATTACTGATTTAATACATGGATTTGTCACAATGTGTCAGTGGAAAGGTTATTTTTGACACTTTTTGTTTCTCAATGCATAAAGAATGTTTTATGTCCTATGCTCATGGGTAGCTATGTTCTTGGTTTTGGTTCACTTAAACTGAGATAGTAAAGGATTTTTTTTTAATTTTAGTTTTTAAATAAGTATATTCTATCAGGGTTTGATAGATTGTATCTGTAAAGTTGTTCTAAAAGTCTGTGTGTATTTATGTGCTGTCTTGAAGTAATCTTGGATTTTTTTTTAAATATTTTGATCTACTTACATGTGAAGTTGCTTTTAAAAATCAAATTTACTTCTGATGTAAAAATGTATGCATTAGGCTGGGGATTTAGCTCAGTGGTTCCACCACCTGCCTCGCAAGTGCAAGGATCAGAGTTTGATCCCCGGTACCGGGGGCGGGGAGGATAAATTAAAAAATGTATATATTAATGAGATGCCATGGAACAGTCCAACACAACTATACATTTTATCATGTTTAAACATACCCATCCCCTCAAATGTCTATCATTTCACAGTGGAAATTTTCAAAATCCTTTCTGCTGGCTTTAAAAAGGCGTGGTGCATTATTATCTGTAATTACTCTACTGGACGATGTCACACTAGAACATCTTGTGCCTTTTTAAGTGTGGTTTA